TCATGTAGTGCAGGATGGGTGATTAAGCACTGATGGTGGCTATCAAAGAACCACATGTACTCATACAAACATACTAACATGCATACGTTCGCCCTCGAGTGCCAGAAGTCCGGGTTCAGGCCCAGGTGAAGGCTGAGATTGTTTCACGTGGACTTCTAGTAATTTCCCCTGGTCACTGGGTAGTGAGATCGGACGCCAATGTGCATTGCTGCGCACGTCTAAAAAAAAAAAATTCCTTGGCAGCTGGAAATAAAAAAGAGTAGCCTAACGGTGCTGCCCCCCGGGCAAAATTTGGAGTTAACAGTCTACCCAATGTATTTCAGGATCCTTGCCGGTGAACAGAGTTCGTGCACTGCGCTGAGATGCTTCAGACTCAGACTTGAGTTAGAAGTAGAAAATAGAACTTATGAGTTACTAACCTTGTGCTATGTTGTTGATTCATTGTTTAAACATACATACATACATACATACATACATACATACATACATACATACATACATACATACATATATACATACAGGCAGACAGACATACATACACACATACAAACAAACATACATACATACAAACACACACACAAACACAGACAGACAGACAGAAACATACATCAAGCCTTTTAACTTTCTTTAGAAGGGGCAAAGACAATATTCCGCAAAATAGTGATAATAAGACATTAATTATGCCAATTTAAATTACTTAATCATATTTGTTATTCTTTTGTTGAAGTGCCCAAAACAAAACAAAAATTAAATATGTGTTAAATATTATCGACTATTTACATTTAATTCCTGTGAGTGGTTGTCGTAAGGATCCCAGCACACCAGAGAGGTCCATAATGCCACTAAGACCGCCCTGATTAGGGCACCTGATGGTTACATAATCTGTAGTTCAGTATGGACTCAGAATAAAGACTATGACACATGCAGCGGCTATGTGATTCTGGAACCAAACTGCTGCAAAGCGAGTGTGGCTTTGTACACGACAATTTGGCGCTAGAATTTTAGACGTGACCACTGAATACAAGTATTGTTTCAGTTTCGACTGCCCCTCCGTTGTAAAATTCTGATTTAATTTCCCTTGTCTGTACTATTCTATTATTGTTCTGATGTATTTAAGTAAATAAATTATTTCTTTTGTTCATCTCTAAAAAGCAGGGCCCCAGCCCCCTGAAAAAATGGTCAGCAAGCAAACCTTTTAACTTTCTTTAGTAGAGGCCAAGACAATATTCTGGAGAATAATAACAAGACATTAATTATGCCAGTTTAAATTACTTTATCATATTTGCTATTTATTTACATTACGCTTTAAATATGCACTTAATCGTCGTGAAAAGGGAAAGCTGCATAAAATGCAATCATTGTCTCGGTTTTGGATATCACTTGAAAAAGTATCCACCTCTTGAGTCTTAGAATATAACACTTTGTTTTTCGACTTCGTAATTGAGTGAAAACAGTCTCAGCCATGTCAGCAATTAAAAACAAAAAACAGAAAAAATTGACCTGATGTTATTGTAGCTCTTTGTCTATCAGAAAGAATGTCCCAGCCAAGTATAACATATTTTCTAACTTCTAAGCAGCAGATGTCACATTTGCGGAAACTAATTTTGTGACATAGAATTTAACAAATAAACTGCTATATAAATTTGTTTTTGTTTGTGTGTTTGCTTGGCTGTCAGGTGGGCGGCGATAAAAAATACTTCTGTTTTGGTGTTCAGCGGGTGTAAAAGAGTTGAGGAACAATGGTCTAGTGTGCTCTTTTATATTTTTATCACATCACCACTTATTTGATAATTACACTGTGGAAGATACTGAAGCCTCACCAGGCAATATTGCCAAAGACAGCAGTGTGTATACTGTAGCAACCTTTCCCATGGAGATGGCACAATTAAACAAAAAAATGAATTAATACTTGTAAATGTCAAAGCAATGTTTTCCCATTGTAAATTTGAACAAAAAAGACACAAATAATAGATTGCACAATTTATGGCCTGGTATATTTCGCTGTTTAAAAGCATCCGATTGAATTGTGGCTGAATCTTCTGCTTTTTTGCTTTGCAGTTCCTATCACAGAAAATCACCTATCATTGGCAAGATCACTTTAAATGTCCTTCTCTTCTTTCCTTCTCATCCAAGAACCTGTTCTGATACACAAGTGTATTGTGTAGTTCTGTGTGAAAGTAAAATCATACCCGTAGATATATCATTGAATGCCATTAAGATAACAGAACTATAATGTTTACTTTTTCACTGATTGTCAGTAAAACCGAATGAGAAAAAGAACTTGGTTTACTTAACTCTTTTCATGGACTGCATCATTTTGTAACATGAGGTTCTTCTTGTTCTTTGTTCGCTTGAAAGATATTAGTGGTAATTTGTCTAAAATAAATGTGCAATGTTCAACCCCTCAGTGTTATCATTGGGATATATAGTGTTAACTGAGTTTTTAGAGTATAAATTTGTTATGTTAAATTTATATATCAATGAAATACCCATATGACTAAAATGTAATTTGTATAGTTTCATACTTTGCTTTGATTTGGGTTGTGATATGATAGATACTGTGCTATGAATAGTGACAAACTGACTATGAATAATTAGATAATCTTGAAAGCATTGTGTCATTATCATGGTAGATATATTGTTTCCTTAGTGTGCAAAAAACACTTATAAGGGCAGTTTGGCATGTTGTGTTGTGGTTTATAGCTAGGCTTTGATGTTTGCGCCTTTCACCCCAAAACATCAGATTTCAGCAAAACCCTAATTATTTGCCTTGTATGACATGCTTGTTAGGGAAACAATTGGTCATTTGTGTGTGTGTGTGTGTGTGTGTTTTTTTTGCTTCAACATAATGGTGTCTAGGAATCATATATTTGTGCATGTTCTCCACCTATCCATTTTAAAATGTTAACTGTTTTTGCTACAGTTAGTTATTATAGACACCACTAGTCAGCACACATATGTTTTCAAGTTTCAGTTATTTTGCTGAAAGAAATTTGTTATTAAATTCTGGGCCTCCTTATCTCCTCCAAATCTTCTGTCAAAGCTGGCCTTCATGACTGCTCTTAACAGAGATAACAGAAAATGTACATTCAGCCTATCTTGAAAACTGGAAAGTACGTGAAAGGGATAGTCTAAAAATGTGTTTATCTCCTGAGGGGTGTAGGCAAACTTATGGAGAGACTAGTTATAGAATCAAGAACTTTTTGAGGTTCAGCCACATTGAACAAGCATAAGCCAACACTGATATAATCAATTGCAAAGTATATTCTACTAATTTTAATTTAGAGGTAGCTGTGGTTTAGCGGCTAGAGGCTTGCCAGCGGGTCCATAGCCTGCACCGAATCAGGTTTTTTTTTTTTTTTATGACTTAGGCTTCCAGGTGGACAGGATCTAAAATGGGTACCAGGCAAAGTCCTGGCCGTAAAGGTGACTGGCATGATGCTGACCACATCACCCACCGAGTGCCGATTGGTCTATACAATTTGGGTCTAGCCCTACATACCTAATATTCTAAGGACACAAAATGAGTAAAACATGACCAACTGAGGTTTGCTGCCAGCTGGTCAATATTTGCTGTGTTGAATCATGCATGGTTAATCCTAACAAACTATGAATAAGATAATGTTTCTGGCACTTTTCCATCTTTCTAGAGTGTTCTATTGTGCTAAAGCTCTTTGGGAGTGAGTGAACGGTGCAGAGGCACAAAATTATTATCATGGTCTGGAGAGAACAGTAAATGGGAAGTGACCAGGGAATCTGGATCCACACTCTGTGAAAAAGATAAGATTTACATTTAATCAGAATACCACCAGTATCATCAGAATTTGAATTATGTGCTGGCTGCTGAAGATGGGGATGCAGCACATATATCACATGGGAATGTCCTGAGAGCTAAGATATCAGTTCTGAACTTCACCCAACCTGAAACCAGGAGGACAGCAACCTCTTCAACAGATTCAAGCTCTTGGGATTTGGGGGGGGGGGGGGGGGGGGGGGGGGGGTGTGCTCATGCATCTTGAACACCAAGCCATCAAAGATTCAAAGCTCACAGCCTTCCAAATTGTTCATAAGGATAAACAATCAATTTTAAAACATCTTTCATGTTTAGCAAGACACCATTTATTTCTGTTTATTGTAAATATAAATTATGCATCAAAATTACACACTGTACATGAGAATGTTTACTACTTATATTCAACAAGGACAACAACTAAATCTGTTTACAAAAAATTAATTAAAGGCACAAAATCTTATGCAATGACAGTAGATCTTGTCAGTTTTATGACTACACAAATGTATATTTGACCACCCCCCCCCCCCCTTTTCCCAAAGATGGCTGAGTATTAGGGTTGACAAAACTAAAATATTGATATAATATAAATTTAAAATTTTACACAAAAGAAGCAGAACAATTAACCTGACAGAAAACATAAAGAATGAAGCACTTTTAAAACTATATGATATGAAAACATTATGCATTCTGGCTGTTTGTAAAAGATTTGCTTTCTTTACATATGGGTATCCTTATAATAAATGCTCATGTCTCCATCTCATTTTCATCATTGTGTCTTTCTCTATACCCTCTTCCTGTCGCTGTTCATTATCATGAACCATGCCCATAAACGAAGGCGGTCATGATTTGACATCCTACACATATTCATAGATCACATCATTTCTCTTGTCATATCCCATCCATTCGACCAAGACAGCCAGATGTTTTAATCTTTGCATTTCTTTTCCTTTTCTTCTACAAATCTTGCCTGTTTTCAGCAAGTTCTGGAGTCTATTCCTTATACATGTCCACACAATACTGACAGTCTAGGCTTAATTTCTCTAGTTAGTTTATGGTTTTCACCTGTTTTGATGAGGACTGCCTCATCCCCCCCACACCCTCCCCCCACCCAGTAATTCTATTATATTCTCTGCATTCTTCCTAAACACCCGATGCATCCAGAATGCATTGCTTGCAATCTTCATTAATTGATACACTCATTCGACAATCAGCTCCTTCTGGCAACATTCAGTAAAGTTTGGATATCAGTAATCTTTTCTCTGGGCTTTCCTAATTTCTCTCCAGCTGCCATTTCTGCACAGTCAATTCGCTGCCAGTCAGTAAATGTCACAGCTGTAACAATAAAAATCACATTAGAAAATAGTTCAATATAATATCTGTTGTCTGTGTCATGTACCTCTTTTGGCTATGGATGTCTGAGGTTAGTGAACAGCTGCAGTTATCCTATGGGTACAATTCAGTTAAAGTGAGGTCCCCTTTTCATGCCTTTAGGTGTATTGGGAACAAATCACTAGACCTATATTTTTGTAGACCAATCGACAATTCAGTTAGATGACCCCAAAACAAGAAAAATCCAGAAAACACCAGTCCAGTCCACTATTCTAGAGGTGTTATATGTTGTGTTGCTGTCAGCATTTATGATGTCCTCATTCGCAGTCTGTATTTTTTTTTTTTAATTTTGTTTTAACATTATCATTCTCAGTGTATGCTTTTTTTTAAAAATTCGCCATTGGTTTCAGGTAAATGGTTTTTTCCTGCACTGTAACCTCGTGCGTTTGGCGAAATATTTTCCTGGAAATTCTGTAGTAAATGGGAGCAGAAATTAATTTGGGTGGTGATGATTTGCATAAATAAAATAATCTTGTTTTAATCTAAAACATTCGTGAGGTACTAATCAATGGGTGGGTTACTGGGGGAGGGGAGAGGGTCTCTGGATCGAAGTAAAGCACCCATGAGTGGTATACATTGTTGGGGAAAATCCCTTGGAGGTAAACTGTAAAAGCAGGCATTTTAAAAACAAACTGCGAGGCTAATAATCTCAAGATGGGAACACAGAAGCAATGCTTTGTCATCGTAGCATAAGTCATCAGCAAGATGCCACCGTTTACTTAAAGATTGCAGGATCAATTGAAAAGAGGTATTTTGTACCCCCCCCCCCCCCCCCCCCCCCCTCCTTCTCTCCTTCAATACAGCCTGGAGTGGAGGAAATAATTAAAGATCGAATATTTGCTTCTACCTGGAAGCCTATTTCGGGGATCCCACTGTTTGTATTGTCTAATCAATGCCTACAGACTCATATATTGTGTAAATGCTTACAGTCTGTTTCTCTAAAATCTTCCAATTACTCTACTTTGTCTGTTTCACTATGTGTTACAATCAGCGTCATGTCAGTGTGACAGTTTTTATTTGAGTGTATGTGTGTATATATGTGTGTGTGTGTGCGTGTTAACTGTGCTACCTCAACAATGGAGGTTAACTGTATTCACTACTATCAAAACATTACGCGGTGAGGCCTGAATCTCTTCGACTGGGTGTCTACATACGTTGGTACTTGTGGTAAAGTGGAGCAATGTTTGGGATTTCTGACAAAAGAAGACACTGAGAAATGACAGTCTCATCCAATGAAGCAATGACACCCATGAAAGACACTCAAAAGTAGACAGTGCCACAAAACTGCATTCAAAATTTACTGACATGACTCAATCCTACCAATACAACCCCACTTATAAAGTTAACCACAAGACCCATTTCTTAAGTTACTTTTAAGATGCCAACCTAAGGTTGCAAACAAGACTCCATCCCAAGACTAAACACAGCTGCTATGTTATAAACTCAGCACAGGATGACAGCCAGTGGTGATACCAAGAATGGTCAAAAAGTAATGCCTCCTATTTTTTCATCTATGTTAACTCTTTGAGTCCCAAGGAACGCATCATATGTTCATAGGTTTCTACCTAGAAGCCCAAAAAACGCACGATGCACCGATTTTTATTACTTTCTTTACTACCCCCTGGGCCTGTGATGCTAAACCCCCTGGGACTCAAAGTGCTAATACTGTATCAGTGTGAAATTTGTAAATTTAGCAGGATTCCTCAAACACTCTTCTTCATAGTATAGTATTACTAACCTGTTTCAGACGCCACTGTAATGGTTTTTAAAATGGCTACCAAAGACGTTCGGTTAAAACAATGTAATGTCATAGAATTCGTCAATGCTGAAGGTGAGACCCCCAATTCGCATCTAGGAACGTTTAAAGAATGTTAATGATTCAGCAGTGGATGTTAGCACTGTCCAACATTGGGCACTACATTGAAGAAGGTCAATCCTCAATAGCAAATGCAAAGCAGACTGGCCGTACATCAACCACAGTTACTCCACACAACATTCATTGAGTTGATTACATCATTTGTGCTGACCGCTGGGTAACAAATGAAGGACAGGCTTCTATCAAAAGTAATACCCAGGTACCTCTATTTGCTTTCTCTTTTGATGTTTTTATCAATAACTGTGAGGCTTAGAACTCTATTGTCTTGTACAATAAAACAGCAGCCTTTCCTGGGTTGATGACAGCACCCATTTCTGCACACCAATCAGTCACTTTGTCTATAGTTGCCTCTAGTTCTCCTTGAGCTTACAAGATAACAAGAATCGGAAACATCTGAAAAACAAACACTGAAGACAAAAGAAATACCGACACATGCATAAACATGAATGGAAGATGCTTTAAAGTCATAGTCTAAACTGGAGTCAGACAATACATTATTTTCTGGCAGAGATTGCTAGGTTAGTGTAGCAGAAAGAAAGATCATTTTTTTTTCATTTCTGGCTGGCAGGCGGTTAGATTTCTTTGCTATGATGATGTCTGCTATCATGCAGGGATATTTAATTCATTGTGTTCTGTGGTATGTATGCCATTATGGTATCGCACTCTATTAACAGTGTTGTTGCTAGTTCATTATTCATCATTAGATGTCTGCAGGAAATGAACAAAATATGTTGGTGACTTTTATCATTAAGAAGTTCTAATAGTTATGAGATTGTGCTGGTCTATGAAATATATAAGTGAGTTGACAGTTCACAGATTACCCTAGGACCAGCACTTAATATCAGAGGTCATCCCCTATAACCTTTTATTTGGTGTGGTCCTTATATATTATACATATTCAAGTACCAGATATCTACCTTCATATATATATATATATATATATCTATCACAACAAACAGCGATATTATATATATATATATATATATATATATATATATATATATATATATATATATATATATATATATATATATATATATATATGTACTACAATTTGTTTCAAGCACAATCAAGAAGTAAAGTAAGTAAAGGACTCTATTCCACACCTTCAAGCACACTGGGCATATAGGGCTAGATCTATTTACTTCCCAGAACTTTAACTGGTATCAAGTTTAAGGCTAGGGTGACCCGTCAAAAAGCAATTTAAAAAATTCAATAAGCTTAAGACAGTAAACCATACCTTTGTCTTTGATCTGATTTATCAGCTGGTCCCGTTTCATCCTTTCGGGAATTTTCAGGTGACCACTATGAAGGTCATGTAACACCAGCTTGCCTGTCTCAAAGGCGTCTGTCATGGTTCCTAGAATAACTCCCACGGGCCCTTTACCTACCCACCCAGCACAATAAAGACCTGGAGAGAACAATTATAAATTCATGTTGGTAAATTAATTAAAATATTCTTAAGGGGCGGATACACAAGTGTATATATATATATATGTGTGTGTGTGTGTGTGGTGTGTGTGTGTGTGGTGTGTGTGTGTGTGTGTACACACACACACACACACACACACACACACGAAAATGGGTACATGAGTTCTCCTTCCTCTATTCCTATTTAATCACTTAAGCTGTCAAGGGAGATATAGGGTTTTCATTCTCGCTCTTCTGGACCTCAACCACAAACAATATGGTTGTAAGAGTTTCTCTGATGTTAATTGTCTACGATGTTCGAGGTTTCCTCGGGTTCTATGCCTTCTTTTGGTATGTATTTTGTACAGTACAGCAGGACAAGCCATTTTCTTCAAGTGGGTAGGCCTTTTTATTAGCTGTGGTTTGTAGGTGATTTAGTATTGGTTCTATGCCCACTTTTTTTTTTCTTATGACCTCATTTCTGACTACCTAGTCTGGCCATTTCTAAACATTTTGTCAGACATATTATGAGCTGAGTTGACAAAAAAAATGTTATCATTGCACTCGGGTTATTCCCATAAGTGCTCTGTGATCATCTTCAGCAGCCAATGCAGAGTTCAAATTTCGATGGTACCAGTAGCAATCTAAATGTATGTCCATCTTGCCTTTCCTCTGACTGCTGCATGTTCACCAGATTGGAAGCTTTCCACTGTACCATTATCTTCAGGGATGATCTATTTTGTGCCTCCACACTGTTCACTCCCAAAGGGTCTTGATCATATTTAGCTTGTCGTGCACCAATTTACATCAATGTGGCACAGTACCAATCTGTCTGGCTTTTAATTTTCCAGCACACCTGCATTCCTTTTCATACTTATTCCAGTGGTTACTTATTTTTGTTTCTGAAAAGATTAGGAGTGACCATGTCTGGAACTAGTAGCCCAGACTAATGATGAATGCACATTGTATGAGTATTTAAGTTTGGTGGGGTATGTAGTGTTGTGGGTACAGTGTGTATCTAGTATGATTACAGACAAGTCTCTATGTGGGATCCGAAAAATACAGAGAAACTTAAAAAAAAATTAAAGTAGTATGACAGAAACAGAGGACTGAAAAAGGATTGGAAAGAAATCCCACCCCCCTCCCCCTTTTCCTGAACAAAAAAATTCAAGTACAACTAGATGAGGGGGAAAATACTGGCTTTGAACAGGATATTCAATGAGAAAACTTGCTGAAAGCATAATAAGAAAGTCCTTTCTTTAAAATCCACAGTGCAGAAGAATTAGAATGAGATCTAAAACACATCTAAAAGAGTCCAGTAAATAATATTAGACAGCATACAAGAGGCTGCTGCAAGACATCATAAAGGATTGGTGGGTTTAGAGTAAGTCAGAAAAAGGAAGATATATATATGTACAAGAATATATATCTTTTTATGGAAGTGAATCATGGATAGTTTATGGAGTAGTGAACAATAATTTGGAAGATGGGGAGATGTGGTTTCATAGATAAATGATGAGAATACCCTGGACAGATAAAAAGAGTAATAAAGACGTCTTGAAAGAAACTGACTCAAGAAGAGAACTGTTTGCTCACATCAGGGGGAGACAATCTACATTCTTTGGTTATGCCATGAGAAGGAGAAAACTGGAGTATATCATGACAGTTGGAAAGTTGGAGGTGAAGAGAGGCAGAGGGAGACAGAGACAACACATGGACAGTCTGGCCTCACAGCATGGAGGTTCATGTGTATCAGAGTTGATTGAAAGCACAAGAGACAGAAGGCTGTGGACGGACGTGACTGCCAAGACTGCATGTAAGGAACTTTGAGAAGAAGATATACATCAGGCCTGATGCACCACTGGTGTAAAAGGGCCCTTTATTTTACTTGTTACAAATGTAAAAGAGATTTCTGTTATGATCCCCAATGTACCTTGTTCATTTCTGACTCTGGAGTTTTCATTGTCAATGATGCCATTCTTTGAATCAAACGGCAATGAGCTGTCTAAGGGAACACTTCTGTAGCCAATGCTACTCAACACCTGCAAACATCATATCAACTTTATGGGCACTTAGACCTACAAATTTATGTATAGAAATAAGTCCATACAACACAACGTCTGCAATAATTGTAACAACTTTATGTAGCTTAGAACCACAAATTTGTGTACACAATTTAGCCAATACAAAATTACACTTGCAATTAAAGTTATAGTTGAGAGGATCAATTTCATTGAACTGAGTTATGCTTGCTGATAGTGTTCTACAAAGCACGAACTCTGGAACTCCAGCGATGATTCCCACATTCTTGAACTGAACAATGTATCTGTGAAATCAACCCATAACCTTCAGAACAAAAACGGCCTGACCACTTCACCAAACAACTTGCAAATGTATAAACTTTACATAGCTGAGAACTTATTTCTATACCCTTTGTCCCCCTGTGCATGAGAGGCCCTCAACCAACTCAATCTATTCTTTGCCATCATGTGCAGCTCACTCAGTATCTTCAATATCGTCTATTTCTTCTGCATTTGCCTTTAAAAGGGCAACTGGCACGTTGTGGTTTACAGGAAGGCTCTGATATCTGTGCCTTCCAGCCCAATAATACAATTTCAGCAAAACCTTAATCTGTTGCCTTTTAAGACATGCTTATAAAGACCCCCCCCCCCCCCCCCGGACGTCATGGGACTTTTGAACCCACAAAGGGACTGGTTCTATGATGTTGTTGGCACCTGTCTGTCCTTCTAGACAATAGTGCTATTTTGTACTATGGGAGGGTGGGGGGGGGGGGGGGGGCATGGAAATGAATTTCCTCCTCTCCACAGCACAACGCTGGCCAGTTTTGTAGAGACCTTGTGTTGCCCATGCATGATGATCCCTCCCTTGACCAGCTTTTGTTACTCCAGAGAAGAGGTAACACCAATAAGTCTGGAATAAAGCCTGCTGCAGAAGCGCTCCTCTGGCACAATATTGGATGTCAGGCTTGGTATAGGCGGCCAAAAGTTTGGCGTTAACAGTTAACAGGTAGTACCAACTACTGTTATACAGTAGCTCAGTCAAATATGACCAAGATCTGACCACCAATTTGCATTACACTTACAGAAATACTTACAAATATTATTGTATTCATAATAAAATGACTAAGCCGTAAGTACAGCTTTCAGGAATTATAGAAATTAAACAAACTTTGGAGAGATAAACTCACCAGACCACACTTGATAGTCTCCCTTAAATCCGTGGTCACAGCTTTCTGAAATTGTGATGGCTTCCCCTAGAAATACAGACAGATATACTTGAATCACTTGAGAAGAACTGATACCACAGTACTCAAGATATTCCCATAAGCTCTCCTTCCCCATCTTCAGCAACCAAAGCAGAGTTTTAATTTCAATGGTACCAACAGCAGTCTTATTCTTCTTCTGCATTCGCCTGAAAAGGGCAATGGTTATGTTGTGAGCTTGACAGCAAAGCTACAAAATCATTATATTTTGGCCAAACACATTTACTTTCAGCAGTAGTTACTTTACGTCCTTCTTAGGACGTTATTTTTTGTTATTTGAAGCCCCACTCTGGCTTTTGCCAGGTGCCGCAATTTAGGCAGGTCATCATTATGGCCAAATGTCTGAACGCGGTTTCTGGGACCTCTCCACGGTGATCCTCATCCGCATGGTGGCACTTTGTGTCATCGGGTGTTTATCGCTTGTGTGATGTCCTGGTGGGGTAAAAAAATCCAATCCAATCCTACTTTCAGCAGTCATAACTGGCCGTTTTTATGGACACTATGAATCTAGTACTAGGTGTCGTGTCATGTACATTATCATTAAAAGCGTACCGTTTCCGCTGACAGATCCAACAGCCCCAGCTTTCCTCCAACCACCCGGTCTTCTCTGCCTCCTCCTGTCTCTACTCCCTTTTTTAAAGTCAGTGAGAAACGGTACAAATCATCATCATTTTATTCACATCATCTTATTGATTTTGCTTTTGTGCCAAAACAGACTTGTAAAATATGTTTCAACAATAAACACTTTAAAAAAAAAAAAAAACTAGGTGTCGTTTCCACAATGTGTCTGATAGCTTCATCATTCACTTGATCTCGGAGCGTTTCTTTACTCAGGCACCTCATCTCGCAGCCGGTGATTTTACGTATATGGGCTGTAGATAGTGTCCATGTTTAGCACTGGTAGCCTAATGATGAAATGAATATCCCGTTAATAATCTGTCTCCTTGCACTCACAGTTAGGCTGAGATGTCCTAGTTATGGTGGAAATTAGTAGATAAGTGCACTTGCTTTCTAACATGTTATGCTACTAATCACATTATGCTAGCTGACACATTGCCAGGAAAGGCAATGTACAGACACGAGTGGTGCCCCGTGTCCTTTGCTTCCTATCTCCCTCTTTCCCTGTCTGGCCTACTTTAGGGTTGTGTCCCCTCCCGTCCGGGCTTCTACTGTAAATATTTGATATGACTCATAATAATGTTGTTTTGCACTATCATCGATTTTATAATAATTTTTTTTTCTTTTTTTGTTTCCAAATGATTAATGATAGCCGAAAGGCACATGTAAATATATCCTGCTTCTTCTCCCTCCTGTACTCTTTCCCGCCCCTCGTCCGCCACCTATGTTTTTGTCTCTCCTCTTTCACCTATTGTTTATATGTTCACAAAGTTACGCACACACATGCAACATTAATACTAACACAAAGCAACGCTCTGTAAATATACTGCACAAATACACATACCCTGCAGACGCCTGTATATATAACAATTACAATACAGTTTACACACAAATTTTGTATACAGACTATTTACAGAAAATAAACTTTAAAAAAAAAAATCATATAGCAGGCCTCCTGGCAGCTGAAAAAGGATTAAGTTTGGAATTTTTGTTGGACAAATGGAATTGTAATTGGAAGCTTCAGACATGGACGTAACTTTATTAAACCTTAAAAAAAATTTGTGACAGCACATGTATATGTACTATATCGAATATTGTATTGTTCCTGTATTTATGCATTTCTATCGTTTAAGTTATTTTAGTTTTTAGGTTTTCCCATATGGGTTTATGTTATCTATTTGGGCTATTTTGGAAGTTTATACGCACACACTTGCATCACAAATACTCACAAAAAGCAACAAATGTATAGAACACTGAACACAATATGTACACTGCAGACGCCTGTATATAAAATACGCACAATACAGAAACCACGCAGCTTTGTACACAGACTCACCTTAACACTCAATAAAATTAATTTAAAACTTTAAACAAAAAAAAATTACTAAATGTATAATCAGCGTGTGAGAATCACAAATAATGACTCAGAGACAGCGTAAACGAAGTCCGATTTCCCACTGGATGTCACAAGCACAAATGTGTTGCCTATCTCCGAGATCACATTTCCATTGATTGATGTTATCACAGTTGACGTCACTGCACTCTGAGCTTCCCGTGCATGCTCAGTCCTCCAATGCAACAGCAACTCCAAGGTACTTCTACTAATTGTTCCAATGAGAATATGGCTATAATGTCTCCTATCACAGCCTCGAAGGCTGCATAGACCTGCTTCACCATGCTTTGCTCCCATGTCATGCAACCGTGCTAGTGTCAGATATTCGTCATTATCCACTAGTCCTTCCGTACAGCATTGACGATGACTGTTGTGTCCATGCTTCTTACCACATGCGTTGGTACAGTGCTAGCCAGTTGGTCTGATCAATCATTACACTTTATGCCCGCATAACCAAGTGTACAGATCCAGGTGAGGAAGGGTTAGTGCGATTTTCGAATGCTTTCAGAGTGCACACCATAACACCTGTTGCTATTTTCTGAAGCATGTTTATGGAGTCTGATATAATTACCACCTGTACTCATTTTGTTTTAAGCGATTCATTCATACTGTTTACCCATTAATGTTACATAAATCCATCATTTTACCAGTGTTACATATCTCCACTAATCTATGAATGTTACATAATAGAAAGTTGCCGTTGCTGTGGACCAGAAAATCTTAGTATGTACAGAATATATGTGTACATAAACAAACAAGCCAAAAATGTTTTCAAACATCAAACAAAATAGCAATGGGAGACAATACCTGTTTCTTTTAAGCAAAGGGAAGTAATTCCAAATTAAAAAATAAATGCTGTATATACAATTCTTAGTTAGTAATTTAAAAAGCTATTATTAATCAATTGTAATTATTCAGTACGCGCAGTAGACTTTAGTTTCAAAATGCAAAGTTTACTGCAGGTTAACATTTTATTAATTTCTTAGCTAGGCAATTTTATTAGTGTATAAATATATTGAAGCACCTTTAATTTTCCATTTTAGTAAGCTTCAGTACACAGTGACGATCAATACTCTATGCATAGCTTGTTCATTAATAGAACCTAATTTTTGACAGCACATGTATATGTGCTATATTGAATATTCTATTGGTCTTGTTTTTACGCACTAATATAATTTTAGTTATTAGGCCCTTCCATATGGGTTTATGTTATCTATTTGGGCTATTTAGGAAGCTTTGTACATAGACTCACCTTAACACTCAATAACAATTTAAAACTTTAAAAAAAATTACGGGAGCAGTGGGTCTAACTCCACAAAATGGAACCACAGAACACACATGGGCTTGTGGCAATCTGGCTTTATGTATCTGAATCACCTGAAATATTAACAAAACCAACACAAACAAGACATAAAGAATTAGAGGGTAGAAGAAAGATGTCGCTGATCAATACCTCTCAAGCGTGATTCAACGAAAGTAAACTATGGAACAGATAGACAAAAAAATACAGATCACCAACACAAGTTTTGTTAAAGATGGCACATAGCAAAGGTTAAGTCAATTCAATGTGGTTGCTTCCTCTTCATCTTTTTCTTATTTTTCTTTTGTATTAGCCCTTAAAAGGGCTAACAAAGTGTTATGTTAAGTGTTCTCAGAAAAAAATAAAACCAGAAATGATAACAGAAAAGACTGGAATAAAACCAATGTTAAATTACAAACAAAGACAGTTAAGAAAGTGGTTAAAGAGAATGCCTTGTTATACCACACCATGCAAGGCATACATGAAAAAAAAATAGGAGTGACACAGATAAAGAGGAAGACCATAAACAACACGGAAAGACAACATTAGAGAAATCTACAACAGTACTATATGTTTATAATCGAAGCGGCCAGAAGAGCAAGAAGGAGGACCTTGTATGTCCCTCGACACCTGAAGCAGTTTAAAATGGAAGTGAAGAAGATATGATTGAAATGTACCTGTAATTTATTAACAGCAAACTCCACACCTGATACTGAACCATTATTGTCGTGAAGAATTTGGACAGGACTTCTCAGGAAAACCAGCCTCCATTCCTTAGTGGCTTGCTCCCAGAGTCTGGTGTCTGTACTGGAAGGTGCAACTGCTGTTTTGTATAAGAGTTCTGTCAGACGACGGCGTGGTCTGGGTAAATCTGTATTCATCAAAGTATCAAGAAATCAGCACAGCGAAAAGAAAATGTTTTGTCCCACCAGACGTCAGCACGCAAAAGGTAATATTTTGTGGCACTAGAAATCAGCATGGCAAAGGTAACATTTTGTGGCACCAGAAATCAGCACAATGACAAAGGTTACATTTTGTGGCACCAGAAATTAGCATGACAAAGGTAACATTTTGTGGCACCAGAAATCAGCATGGCAAAGGTAACATTTTGTGGCACCAGAAATCAGCACAATGACAAAGGTAACATTTTGTGGCACCAGAAATCAGCATGACAAAGGTAACATTTTGTGGCATCAGAAATCAGCATGACAAAGGTAACATTTTGTGGCACCAGAAATCAACACGGCAAAGGTAACATTTTGTGGCACTAGAAATCAGCATGGCAAAGGTAACATTTTGTGCCACCAGAAATCAGCACAATGACAAAGGTTACATTTTGTGGCACCAGAAATTAGCATGACAAAGGTAACATTTTGTGGCACCAGAAATCAGCACAATGACAAAGGTAACATTTTGTGGCACCAGAAATCAGCACAATGACAACGGTAACATTTTGTGGCACCAGAAATCAGCATGACAAAGGTAACATTTTGTGGCATCAGAAATCAGCATGACAAAGGTAACATTTTGTGGCACCAGAAATCAACATGGCAAAGGTAACATTTTGTGGCACCAGAAATCAGCATGACAAAGGTAACATTTTGTGGCATCAGAAATCAGCATGACAAAGGTAATATTTTGTGGCACCAGAAATCAACATGGCAAAGGTAACATTTTGTGGCACCAGAAATCAGCATGGCAAAGGTAACATTTTGTGGCACCAGAAATCAGCACAATGACAAAGGTAACATTTTGTGGCACCAGAAATCAGCATGACAAAGGTAACATTTTGTGGCATCAGAAATCAGCATGACAAAGGTAACATTTTGTGGCACCAGAAATCAACATGGCAAAGGTAACATTTTGTGGCACCAGAAATCAGCATGACAAAGGTAACATTTTGTGGCATCAGAAATCAGCATGACAAAGGTAAAATTTTTTGGCACCAGAAATCAACATGGCAAAGGTAACATTTTGTGGCACCAGAAATCAGCATGATAAAGGTAACATTTTGTGGCATCAGAAATCAGCACAATGGAATGAAACATTTTAAGGCACCAGAAATAAGTAAAGGTCATATTTTGTGGTACCAGAAAAAAGTACAGGAAATGTAACATTTTATGACACCAAAATTAGCAAATAAAGGTAATTCTGTGTAGCACCAGAAATTAGCAACAAAGGCAACATTTTGTGGCACTAGAAATTAGCACAATAAAGATAATATTTTGTAAAGTAAATTCAAAAAGTAACCCGGTTTCTGTAGCACAAGACAATTTGGAAATCAGTTTACTTTCTGGTAATCTGGTAATCCTAGTTTCAGCTTCATAGCAAACGGGTCACCCCACATATGCTCCACTCCTGTGCCAACGAAAAACAAACACAGCTCACAGTGTCACGCCATGCACTCAACTCAGAAGCTGGGCGACGAAACTACATCCTTCCAGTCTACAAATGGAGCAAAAATGCAACGGCCACCGTCTGGAAAAAAAAATATTTGCCACGGCTTTTAAAAAAAAAAAAGAAAAAAAAAAGGGTGGCCGTACCTAGCGTCCATTTTGACCGGAAGAATTATATGAGGGTTAATAAACGGTCACCCCAGCAGTACCCTCATTATTAGCTGGGGAAGGGACTTAGGAAATTACATCCACCAGCAGGCGTCGCCCCTACAACGACCTGCCTGCCATCGTTAACGACTGTTCACCCAACAGCCATGCAGTTCTTTGGCACGAAGGAGACACCTTGAACTTGGGTTTCGTACTGCTGACTCCCTACTAAGTTGTTATTTTATGTTCTGTTATCACAATTAATGTCACTGCACATTGGGCATACCCATGCGTGCTCAGTTCTCCGAAGCAGCAGCCACTCTAAAGTACTTCTACTAATTGTCCCCATGAGAAGCTAGTTATTTTGTCTCCTTTCTCGGCCTCGAAGACGGCAAAGACGTGCATCACCATGCTTAACTCCCATGTCACCCAATCGTGTTAGTGTCAGGGATTCCTCATTCTCCACTAGCCCAGTTCGTACAGCGTTGACTATGTCTGCTCTGTCCATACTTTTTCCCGCAATCATTAGTGCAGTGCTTGCCAGTTGGTCTGCTCGCTCATTTCCCTTCACGCCCGCATGACCCGGTGTGTAGATCCAGGTTACGGAGGTTAAGTGCGATTTCCTGATGCTTTCTATTCATTCAGAGCGCATACTGCCTGTTGCTATCTTCTGAAGCATATTCATTGAGTTTGAGACAATTACTACCTGTGTGGCGGTTTGCTCGGATACCCATGCTAAAGCTCTAGAAGCAGCGGCTATTTCCATTGTCATGCTTGACGTGGTTGTCTGGTAAGCGCCGCTGTCCTCATGTATTGTTTTCCCCTTTCTTTGCGCTGTGTATGCCCATGCTGACCTTGATCCGCGCTTCACGGATCCATCTGTGTAGATGATGGTATCTTCTGGGTCTGAATGCTGATCTATCAGTTCCCTTACTTCTGTGTCTACCGCCGCAGGAATTTGATCCCTGCAGTACCTTCCAAGTGTGATGACAACCTTAGAGATGCCATGCATGTCTAATGGTGTATTCGTCCATTCTTTTCCGTGGCTGATCACGTCTAGGTCACATACCTGCTGGATTAAGTCCTCAGCCTTTGCCATCCAAGAGCGGCCCCTTTTGAGACGCGTTCCTTTTGTGTCGTGAGTAGCTTTGTGTAATGGGTGGTTAACATCTGCCGATACCCTCATGTAAGCCTTGACCTGTGCCACTTTGTATCTGCTTGTCATAGTCGGCAGACCCAGGATATAACGCATGGCGTTGCAGGAGGTGTCTTTTGTGCAGCCGAGTATGAGTCTCATGGCCTCATTCTGTACTCGGTCCAGTCTTTCTAGCTGGGTTTTGCTGACAGTGAGGAGGCCAAGACCATAGTCAATGACGCTAAGCACAAGCCCTTGATAGAGAAGGAAAAGTAGACGTTGTTCAATATCAGCTGCTGCTAGCACCTTGAGTGCTGTCAAACCTTTCCTGGCTCTAAGTATGATGTTGTCTACGTGGCATTTGTATGACAAGCATCTGTCAAATGTCATGCCCAGGTATTTAATGGTGTCCGTTCTCTCGATGTCCACACCACAGATGCTTACGACTGGCATTGGTGTACTCACGATGTGGGTATTCAGAGAGAACCATGTTAAGGAGGCTTTGGACGGGTTTACTTTATCACTATTCATGTCTATTTTGTGAAGGTAATCAAACTCTCAGGTCTGACAACTGAAAAATGTCCTTCAATGTCCCACAGAACTAACCAGAAGATTAACCAGAAAAAACAAATGCCCGAAGAGGTCAGATGTGTTGGCCAAAAGGTGCAAATACTGCAGTTATGCTGGAAAGCATTTGCACCACACAAACGAACAATGAAGAAGAAGTAAATCCTCTGATGTGTCTCCAACTTGAAATAATAGAAGGACCTATGGGTTCGAATAATCCCAAGAGCTGTGACAATGGTAGCTTAGGGTCTTCTGTATTAGACAGGTTAATGATAGGAACCAGACTAAAATAGAACTGCACTATAAATGGTGAGCACTTGATTACATTCAGACTGGCATGTTGTGTACTTTATGCAGTACTGTATGTGCAAAAAATGATGGCTTGTCCTGACTGACTGCTTCTATCAACAATGAGCTGCAATTCTCGTAGGAGACTGTTAGTGCTGGCATATCTGGGGCTGCCTTATGCATTGATTCTGCACGTGTGAGCTTACCGATTTTGCTGAAAGTGATCTGCTTTTCACAAGTTTTTACATGGGACAGTGAAGAACACTTTGTGTGATTTACACTAGCACAAGAGCAGAGCAGTTATGGAACCTTGACTAATTTACTAACAAAGAGACACAACCCTGCTACCATGCGAGCAGACTGAGGACAATCAATGGCTAAGGAAAGCAACCCCCTACAAAAATAGATGTTAAAGTTGGGTGTACTGACAAAACAGTGCAATGATGACTTCTTTTATCTTCTTTCTTTTGTGCTGTGCCTTTCAGCATCAGGTTTTGAAGACGCATCTGCTGGGAACCTTTGTGTGTGCTGCACAGATGCCAGTATTCACAATCTCAGATATTCCATCTATGCATTGCCTGCTTGGTTGATCTCCTATAACTCTGCTTTCATAGTATCTTAGTAACAGTGTTCTCAGGGGTGCACCATCTTGTGGTACTCTTGACACATATCCAGACAATTTCATCTGTTGTCACATATTAGTTTCATATTTGTGCCAGGCGATGCAGGCTTGCAAGGAAATGAGCAGGCTGATAGCCTTCAGTTAGAGCTACTAAGGAGGGCAGAGGAGACATGGACCAGGCATTCTGAATGCTCTACATGAAGTAAGACGTTTGTGAGAACCAAGTGATTCACTTGCTGTGAATCTGCACCCAAGCGATGATTGTGAATCTGCAACCATGAACAGACTGCAAGAATAACATGTTAAAAGGGGAAGCCAAAGAAGAATAAGAAACCAACACAGAACTGGTGTTGTCAGCCGCAACATGTTGCTGGATTTACTAAGGATGGGATCCGAACACTTATGGACAGAACGGTTTGATGTGCAATGAGGATAATCTGTTGACTAATTAACTATCTGTTGTCTTTTTAAGTAGTTTACCAGTGGTTTCATATCAACTTGTTTCCTGACATCATCATTGCTGATCCTGTCTTTTCTTGTTCCATCTATATTCTATTTTTCCATTGGCTTTGGCTAACTTACAGTTCAAATTATAATCACTGCCCTCAGGACAAATGCACAAGTGCTCCAGTCTCCTTCCAAATAAACCCATCAGTGTACTGTGACTAGTTATGCCAGCTTTATGTTGACTGACTAACATCCTTTTGTGCATGGTGGAAGATCCTTCTAGCCTTTGTTGACACCTTTCTGTATCTTTCCGGATGATTTTGTTATACTCTGCCATAGAAACATGGGTATCACAGCCCATGGTGTTTGGCAATTCAAGTCATTGCATAAAGCCTGTGCAGTATTGCAGAGATCATGTGTTTTTATATATACAGCCTGATCCCTCACTTGGCTTGCCTTGTTTACTCCAAAGGAAAGGTAAACACTAATATATTTGGAACAAAGGATGCTGCAGAAGCTATCAGATATAAGTGGAGTGTTCTGTCTATCCACCTGTCACAGCTTCCCTCCTAGATAGCTGCCAACCAAGACCAAAAACCTAGTATCTTTCTGGCCATTCTGATCTTTATCTGACTTGCAAACCCTGATCTTTCAATATCACCTCATTTGGGTCCTTCCTATCAGTATTAATAAGCAAACTCCAAATTCTGTGCTGTCTCAACAATGAAGGTTGGCTACAGGGTACCAATGCTGTTGTCAAAACTACTGTGACTGCTGTGAGGCCCAATCTTTTCCACAGTGCAACTCTTGTACTAAAGCCATGAAATTGTTCAGCACATTCACTAACTTCTAAGCCAGAGAGCTTCACAACAAATGAAACACCTACCATCAATAACTTTATCCAGTCCTTCGACATCCTCACGTCGAATAACAGTTTGTGTCCCTGGCAGTTTGATCATCTCTCGCAGTTCTTTGATTGTAAATGCAACCTGAAGAGGTCCTCTTCGCCCAACAACATGAACCTTGCTCACCTGACTCCTGTGAAGGGCTTTCAGGGCATGCTCTGATATATCTGTTTTCTGTGGAGGGTATTTTGAATAGATTATAGCCAAAATAACAGTCGACAGCTATAATTATTACCAGATTATTTGAAATACATAATACAGGATTATTCAAAATGATGGATACACTTTCATTCATGTATATTTCCTTGACTGACTGACTGACTTTCTACCCCACCAGGACATCACACAAGCGACAAACACCCGATAATACAAAGTGCCACCATGTGGATGAGGACCGCCGTGGAGAGATCCCAGAAACCGCGTTCAGACAATTGTCTATATTGCGGCCCCTGGCAAAAGCCAGGGTGGGGCTTCAAATAACAAAACATTTCGTCCTAAAAAGGACGAAAATGTAGTAATTATATATTTCCTTGAGGTAGATTACATATTAATAATATGCATACAAGGCAGAGGAGAAGGTCTCAAGTTTTGAATATTACCGCTGGAGCTAGCATGCAGCCTCACAGCCAACCACTTGATAATATACCCATTAGCCACACAAAAAAAGCCTTCAACTCAAATGTAACATAGCTGTACAGATGAAATACCTCTAAAATGCTGACTGGTGTGAGAAGAATCCGGGCCACATCTAATGCAACATTTCCATGGCCCAACACAACAGCAGATTCACAGTCCAAGTTGACTTGTAGCTTGAAAAACAGAAAGACACAAAATGTTAAGTGGGACTTGTGTAGCTAGACACAAAAACAAAAAAAATGATATACAGTCAAACAAATAAGATAGCAGCGGAGTAAATGAGAGCAGAACAAACCTCCTTGTCTTGTGGCACACCGTTGTACCATCCTACAAATGATCTTGCCGATATGACATTTGGAAGATCTTCTCCAGGAATACCTAAAGTTCTGTTGGCTGATGCTCCGTAACACTGAAAATAGATGAGAACATGTGCTTCATTAACAATTTTATCGCATAATTAATTAGTTGCTTAGTAAAATGTGCAAATGTAAAATGTACTCAAACCTGCTGTACGACACAGAGACCTTCACAATAAACAAGCAGTAGAAAAAGTAATACTGAGTCTCAGGACATGAGGACATACAAAAGAATAGGTAGTGTTTTATCGGAGCAAAAATAATTAAATACAGAGGCTATGACGATACTAGGAATGAAAAGAGGGATGCTGAGGAAAAGAAAGACAAGTGAAAATTTTTTGCTATATTAAAAGACATGAACTGACATCACTGCATTCTGGACATTCCCTTAGATGCTCTGTCCCCTTCCTCAGGTAGCCAAAGAAGGATTCCCAAACTGATAATGCCAACTGCAACATGATTAAAAGTTCCCCCCTTTTTTTTAAATCTTGCAGGCAGAAAATCATACAGACCCTCAGTTCACTCCCAGATGAATCATTATCTCCAGATATGGATGCTCTCCATTCTTCTGCACTGTTTACTTAATTCCACAGCGCTTTCGCCATGTACACTTTATCGTAAAGCAGCTCATCGCCCAGAGAGATGGCGGCAGCTAACCCATCAGCCTTCTTCTTCTTCTTTTGTTCGCCTGAAATAAGTTGTCTATATCAGCAATTTTGTCTCTTGTATAAATTTCACTGTTGTTGTTAATTCATTCAGTGGTCCATAGAGTTTACGTTCCACTGTTGTTCTTTCTGGCCAAAAGGTTTGCCTTAATGTATCAAATTCAGTGCAGTCCTGGAGTACATGCTCTGCTTTCTGGGGCACCTTTCCACAGGTGCACATGGCTGATACGCCTATCTTGAATTTTGTGTACATGTGGTTACGTAATCTGTTGTGCCCTGTTCTGAGGCGGAGGATAATGACTTGTTCTGATCTGTCCAAAATAAAATAGTCGTCTTGTGCTGGGGCTGGTGGTTTCATGATTTATTTAATGATTCTTTTTTTTTTGGTGGTATGTGACTGGTACATCCGGTTGCACTTTTGTCGCACCTTCTCCTGCCAGTTGATTAGCTTTCTTATTTCCAGGCACTCCACAATGTGATGGTTTCCAATGCATTACAACTCTTTGCTGAAGGCTAAGTTGTGTCAGCAGTGTTTGCAATTCTGGTAGTTTCCTAGAGTGCTTCAAGTACTGATTTTGCATCTGTCAGCATTACTACATACTGGGAGCCAAGATTGGTATTTAGCAGTTTCTCTGTTGCTATCTTGATAGCCTGAGTTTCTGCATCATAGTTATGACAGTACTTTCCGGTGAGTACGCTGGACCTATCCCTAGTACCATCTGGGAATTCTTTGTACACTCCAGCACCATCATTTCTAACTGCACTTTCTGCGGACCCATCTGTATAGACTCTGACCCATTGTTCTTGTGGGTATTCTTCATCAATATAACTGAGGGTGGCCATTCTGCGTTGTACACTATCTTGTTCTTTCTTGTCAAATATTCCTTTCACATTTGTCTGGATTTGTACTGTTAGTTTGCATTTCTCTCTCCATGGGGTTTGTTCTGGAATACTGTTAAGTGGACAACCAATTTCTGGAAGGTCAGCAGTTTGTCTACATATTTTTTTTGCTTGATGTACTAAGCTGCTTATTTTTAACCGTCCCAAGGCTAGGTTCTGAAATCTATTTTTTATGGAGTGATCTGGCACACTGAGGAACTTTTCAGCTTGTATTTGCAACTTTGTATCTCTGTGTTCTCTCAGTGCCTGTGTTTTTTTTCAGCTTTCTCAATTTCTAATATGAGGGTTGATTTCATCCCTCCTGTGATGACTCTGAGTGCTTGATTTTGCACTTTGTCCAACTCCTTTAATGTGGTACTAGATGCTGAACACCATGCAGTTGACCCATATTCCAAGTGTTGAAGTATGCTCTGCTTGTATACTTTATTGAGTATTTTCCACTGGCTCCCCATGTGGTTTCCCTTAGTTTTCTTAGTATGGCTGTCTTCCTCCTGGCTTTGGTTGCTGCCTTGTTGATATGTTTTCTCCATGTCAACCTGTCATCAAATGTGACTCCGAGGTACGTGGGCTCTTTATCATCTCTTAGGGGTATTCCGTTTATTTTGATGATGCCCGCTTTTTGCTTTGGGGAGAGAGTAAAGAGTGTGGTGCTACATTTGTCTGTATTGATGCTGACACACCATCTATTCGCCCATGCCTCAAGTGCATATGTAGCCCGCTGTAGTGTTCTTGTGGCTATCGTTGCATGTTCATCGGTGCACCACAGTACCAGGTCGTCGGCATACATTGCCATTTTGATTCCATTTGGTATCTCAGCAACCAGGTCGTTGATGAATAAGAGAAAAAGTGTGGGCGACAGGACACCACCCTGAGGGACGCCATGTCGCAGTAGTACTTTTTTACTTTTGAAACCATCTACCTGTACCCGGGCTCTTCTGTTATGTAGATATGCTTTAATCCAATTGTACATTCTTCCACTTACTTTATAGTTTCTCAATTTCTTCAAAAGTCCCTCCTTCCAAACCTTGTCAAAAGCTTTCCTTAAATCTATCCATGCCGCGAGCACCAATTTCTTGTCTTGAAAAGCATCCTCTATTTCTTGGGAGAGGTATGTTGTCTGGTCTTCCGTAGAGTAGAACTTTCTAAAGCCCGCCTGCTGTGGTGTAATGATGTTTTCACTTTCAATGTACCATTGTAGTCTGAGGTTGGTGATGCGCTCCATTGTTTTGCAGAGACAGCTTGTGAGGCTGATCGGTCTGTAGTTGGAGGCATTGGAACTGTCTTTCCCAGGCTTTATGAGGGGTATCATAATTGCCTCTCTCCAGATCTGTGGAACATTTCCTGTTGCCCAGAAGCATTAAATATATGTAAAAGCTTTGTTTTGGCCACTGTTATCAAGTTTTTGATCATTTCGTTAGATATACCATCTGCCCCTGGTGACTTTCGCATTTTTAGCTTTGAAATGGCCAACTCCAGTTCATTAAGTGTAAGTGGCACCTCTAGCGCCTCTGATGTTATTTCTTTCTGACTTCTGAATTGTGTCTTTTCTTGAATTTCTTGTTTTTTCTCTGAACTGATTTCAATGTTATTATCTAATGCAAAAGTGTCTGTAAAGAGGTTGGCTGCCTCTTTTCCTGTGACAATGTTTCCATCTTTCAGCAGCGTGATCTTTGAGTTCCACCCTGTGTCCTCATCATGAATTTGTTTTACAAGCTTCCATAACTTTCTTGTGTCTTTTTCAAAGTTCAGTGACCTTGTTATTCCTGCCAGCTTTCCCTTCTAACCTGCAGCTTTGCCCTTACAAATTTTGCTTTTGCATGCTGGTAGTTATTGTGATGTTCTTGGTTTGGCCTGGTCTCTGCTTTCTTTCTAGATGTTTCCACTTCGTTATGTAAATTAGTTCACTATTCCAGTATGGCTTATAATGCTTACGGGCACCTCTTGGTATTGATTCTTCTGCTGCCTGAAGTACGCGTTTGTTAAATTCTTTAACTGCTTTGTTTATATCCTGGTCTACGCTGAGATTTTCAAGCAGTATACTAATACAGTGTTTGAACATTGTCCAGTCAGCCTTCTTGTAGTTCCACCTTGGCAGCGTACTCGTTTCTCTGACCTTTTCATTTTCTACATTCAGGAAGACCGGTCGATGATCACTGCTTCCCAGTTGTTTTCCAACAACTCGTGTAATGTTCCATTCCAGATCTGGAGAGTGAAATGCTAGGTCTGGGGTAGTAGTGGTGTGCCACGACCTCGAGTAGAATGTGGGTGGATCTGTTGGCCTATTAATCAGAACAAGTCTGTTCTCATCCTGCCACTTTTTCAGTTTCTCTCCTCTCTAGTCTATGTGGTCGTACCCCCAGCTTTGTGAGTGGCTGTTAAAGTCTCCACATAGAATCATCTTTGCTTCTACTGGGATTGTGTCTAGAGCTTGGGGACGATCACTTGAGCAGTAATAATTGCTCAGGTAGAAGTCTGCATTTCCAGTCTGCAGTTTTAGAATCTGATATCAGCCTGTTCATTAACATGTACATCTGAATATCCTGAGTGAGAAATCCAGGATATGTATTCTATTTGAATATTATCAAGCGATGCAGGCCACCCTGAGCATAAGATACCAACTTCTATTTTCCTAACATTGCTCTGCAAGTCATTGATAATTACAGCCTCAAAACACATAAGTCTTTATTAAAACCATACTAGAGCGAAAAGCTGAAGGCAAGTGAGCAAGAAGCTGACAGTGATACCTAGTAGAAAATTATATCAAGAGATGGACAAACAGCAGTCTGAGAGAGTGTAGAACAGAGACAAGAGACAGAGCGTGTTGAGATCCATTACAGCCAACCTTCTTTGCAAAGATGGCACATGGTTGACTGATCGATTGAAAACAAAGAAATATACTCCTCAAGTGCGTTACAGGTTCCATGTCATATAAGTTAACCTTCCCTCGATGTAGGAGTACATCTGCCGGTGAGGCAGGGAACGAGGACTGCAAACAAATAAGACACTAAAATGGATGTACACACAAAACTCAGGTCAAGGTAAAATCTAAAAGTCCATTTGGACGAACAACCGCGACTTACCGCTGGAATTCATAGCCGGCGAACAAGAAGAAGAAGAAGAAGAATATAAGTTAACCAATTAGGGTTGTCTCCTTTAAAGTCAGAGTGCATCTACTTGAGAGCGAGGAACCAACAAATAAGCCAGATCTGTAAAACTGATGTGCATGCAAAACTCAGGTTTTGGGACGTTCAGAAATGGGCGAAGAAACAAAACTTTCTGCCACAGTTTACAGCTAGTGAATACGAAGAAGAAGATATGGATATACTCTTCACATTAGTCTCTGAACAATGAATACTGCAAAGAGTAAATACATGTATATGTGTTACTGTCCTATCAGATGAACTGCTAAAATCCTAGAAACAAAGATCTAATTTCAAGCATTATCTTTAAAAGCCCTGGTAGTAAGCTTGCCTATTGGCCTGGTGGCATGGTTTCAAATCTCTAAGTGGACTTACTTTGAATAAACACTCCCTTTCCTCTGCACTACATAAGAAACATACACTTTACAGCAGCCTCTCTAGTATTAACCAGACTTGCAATATCACTCTTTAAACATGCAATTCAAATAAACCTCTATACTAACAATCCAACTTGCAACATTTCACTTTAAACATGCAATAAATATCAAACTCTATATTAACACCCAGACTTGCAAAATTACACTGTAAACAAATACTAATAAAAATTAGCCTCTTAACTAATAACTAGATTTGCAACATACCAAAATAACAGCTGAGTAAGCATCTCGTAGATCTTTTAGAGACACGTCTCGACCAACTTCAACATTGCCGAAAAAATTGCAGCGTTCATTTTTGGCAGTATTTGTAAAAGTATGAATCACATTCTGCAAAACAAAATTTAAAAATCATTTTTTTTTTAAAGCACCAGGGTAATATTCTCATTTTTTGTAACATCACAAAATAACACCAAAACTACATCTGATATACTGAAACTCTATGGTGAAAGCTAAAGGACCATGATCCATTACACTGTCAACATCTGGAGGTGAGAGGTTCAAATCCCAGTATTCTTATAGCTTTCAATTACTATATTGTCCAGTGTGTTTTTATGGGTGGGATAAAACTATAATCACGATAATGGGGAAAGCTGGATGGGAAGAGAAGCTGGGGGAAGCAAGAAAGAGGATGTTGGACAGTTTGTTATCATGACATGAAAGAAAGTATCAGTGACCGAGTCGCCCACTGGCTCGCCAGTAGACGACTTTGTCGCTGGTCTGGACAGTATTTGTGTATGTCTCCTTTGATGGCATCAACACTGCACTACTTGCTGATTGTGATTCAGAAGAAAGATCCCATCACACACTATGCATTGTCTGGATATGAAAGAAGTAAGCTGTTCACCAAATTTATCTCATCCTGAAACATAACAGTTAGTCGCACCCCTACTTAATGCTCTAAATCTGAGCTATGTGTCATGTGTAGAACACGTATATACACATACCTTAACTTCTGGATGGTCAGGTGCTACTCCAAATCGTACAAGACCAAAAGGAACTGGCAATTTCTCGTAAATGTCCACAATTAAATTATGGTCGCCCTGGATACAAAATCAAATTTGTTAGTAAATATGTTTCAGTAAAGGACCCCTTCCACCCCTTCAGACATATTGGGCATACAGTGCTAGATCTCTATTTTATAGACCAATCAGCATTTGGTCGATAATGTGGTCAACATCACGCCGGCCAAATTTACTTCTCTGAACATTATCTGATACCCATTTGAGGCTGGATTGATCTGGGAGCCAAAGTTTTTTTTTTTTAATAAGTCTGGTTCCCTTCAAAGAGAGAATAGACACCATAAAATATCTAGGCATGACCTTTGACTGATGCTTGTCATACAGGTGTCACATAGACAACGTCATACTTAGAGGCAGGAAAGGTCTGACAGCACTCAAGGTGCTAGCAGCAGCTGATATTGAACAACGCTTACTTTTCCTTCTCTATTGAGGGCTTGTATAAAGCATCACTGACTATTGTCTGGGCCTCCTCACGGTCAGCAAAAATCAGCTAGAAAAACTAAACCGAGTACAAAATGAGACCATGAGACTCAAAATCGGCTGCAAAAAAGACATCTCTTGCAATGCCATGTGATATGTCCTAGGCATACATGAGGGTATTGGCAGACATTAACCACCCACTGCACAAAGCTATACACAACATAAGAGGAATGCATCTCAAAAGAGGTCGCTCCAGGATGGCTTAATTCAGCAGATATGTAAACTAGATGATATCAGTCACGGAAAAGAACTGACGAATACACCAATAGAGTGACATCTCTAACGTTGTCATCACACTCAGAAGGCACTGCAGGGATCAGATTCCTTTGGCCGTAGACACAGAGGTAAGGTCACTGATAGATCAGCATTCACACTCAGAAGATATCATCATCTACACGGATGGATCTGTGAAGCGCAGATCAAGGTCAGCATGGGCATACAGAGCGCAAAGAATGGAGAAAACAATACAGGAGGACATCGGCACTTACCAGGCAACCACATCAAGCATGACCATGGAAATAGCTGCTGCTTCTAGAGCCCTAGCATGGATATCCGAAAAAACTGCCTCACAGGTAGCAATTGTATCAGACTCCATAAACATGCTTCAGAAGATAGCAAAAGGCAGTATGAGCTATGAAAGCATTAAATTTCACTTAACCTCCCTCACCCGGATCTATACACCAGGTCTTGGGGGTAAAGCATAATGACAGAGCTGACCAACTGGAAAGAAATTCACCAACGCATGTGGGAAGAAGCATGGGCAGAGCAGATATCGTCAACGCTGTACGGACTGAGCTAGTGGACAATGATGTATCTCTGACACTAATATAACTGCATGACATGGGAGTAAAGCATGGTGAAGCATGTCTATGCCGCCTTCGAGACCGAGATAGGAAACATTATAACAAACTTCTCATGAGAATAATTAGTTAAGTACTTTGGAGTGGTTGCAACATAGGAGGACTGAGCATGCATGGGAATGCCCAATGTGCAATGATGTCGATTGTAATAACATAACATAACACAACATGCTAGACTGACCATTTGGTGGGTGATGTCGTCAACATCTAGATGGCCACCTTTACTTCCCAGGACATTACCTGGTAGCCATTTAAGGCTGGGCCGACCTACAAACCAAGGTCAGTATTGAAAAAAAATCTTATTTGATTTGAACCAAAGACCATAGGGCCAGCACATGAGCATCTATACAATACTCTACTACATTTCCCATTATGTAAGCAAACTGTGTAATGCTGAATGAGTTAATGTGCAGTGCTCACCTTCAGCAACTGTTGAGCGGTATAGAACCCTGCAGGTCCGCTGCCAACAACAGCAACACAACATTGCTGGCCAGGTGATGATGATGATGATGATTTCTGCGAGTCTGAACTTCGACATCGGCAGCTGGGAGAAAACCACTGCTGTAGAGTAACAACCTTACGCCATGTCAGAATTTCTGGAGTCCCAGTGAAACATCTGGCAATCCTTCTTACACTGTTCATTATATGAAGCTTCTAAATGCCCAGTTTTTACCAGCTATACAAGACTGTAAAAAAAAGACAACTTGAAAAACACACACATAAAATACATGTAATTATTAATGTAATTTTTTCAGTTGTACAGTTAGATTTTGCTCATCCCCATCTGTCCTGGTCTCAATGTTTAGGTATTAGGGGTAAAGAGGTAATTCTAATTATCTTAAACACATAGGACTATTAAGGTGAATCAGCTTTGGGAAAAGCTGCTAGAGATACACAGAGAGATACAAGGTACTTGATGCAGATAACTCACATGCCAGCCAGCGACCACAAGGGAAGTTAGGAATAATAAAACTGTAACCTACCACACATAATGTGAAAAGCATCTAAGGAGGGGTGGCTCAAGTAAAAGATGTCTAAGAGTGGCTTGAGCATTAAGTTAAGTTAGTTGCGTATCCTTTACAGGACATTGCAGAACCAACCCTAACAGCCCCTGGCTGTTGTGTGGTTTCTCTAGGCAACTTACATCCAGTAGTCTGCCATTGCTTTCTGGACGGTGGGCTTTCTTGATACCACTGTCGAAACCAATGCAAGGCGCATTGCCCGCAGCTGGGATCGAACCCGGCATCCCGGCATTACGAAGCGTTCGCATCGACTTAGCCACAGAGCCGACTGGCTTGAGCATGGCTATCTTATTCTGTAGAATGTATGGTTGCTCCAGGTTGCTTCCTTATATCCACTAGCTTGGGCAGGGATACTTATTCCTGCTTGTTGTTAAAGTCTTAATGGTATGCATCATGCATGGCATTAATGACATCACTCCAAACCACTACTGGAACAGTGACAGTCACTTGCCTGCCATATAATCTGTACTCTCATTGTCTCAGACACCTGCATTGGCCCGACCCAAAGATAAAGGTTAGGCAAGTTATCTGTGATGCACTTGATTAGATAATCGGCTATCCTCCGAATAACGGTCCTAAATTATAGAGGCGGAAAATATACCCTAACAGGGCCTCAGTGTCAACTGCGCACTTCCGGGGACTATAACGTCACTACCGAATTGCAAACTTCCGGCAACTTCCGCCACCGCCGAAAGTATCCACCACGCGGCGTGGATTGGGGCTAAGCTAGATGGCTAGGACTCACGAGCAAATAAAATGAAGAAAGCTACAGGAGATGCGGTTGCTGCTGCTCGTGTCCCAGCCATCTAGTTTAGCCCTAATCCATGCCGCGTGAGCAGCGTGGGGGGATACTCTCGGCGATGGCGGAATTCGCAGGAAACGCACAATTTAAGACGACGGAAGTGCGCAATTGACACGTGACTGAGGCCCTGTTAGGGTATATTTTCCACCTCGATAATTTAGGACCGTTATTCGGAGGATAGCCAGATAATCTATTACTGACTGATGCAGCTTAACTGGATTTTCTTGAGCATGTTCATTGAGTAACTGTCTGCATGCATGTGTGAATTCTTGAGTACTCAGCCATTCCAATTCCCTTTTTTGCAGCCAGTCTCCTCTATGAGGCTGCTGACTGTAACATCACAGGTACCACTCATCTGCTTGGCTTTTCCCTCTGCTTTTACAGTGAGTGCCAGTGTACGTCACTTGCCCCAGATAAAAGATCTATCCGTGTAAAGCATCATCTTCATCAGTGCTCTCATCAACCGGTGTTTTGACTAAAGTGGTTGCTATGCCAGGGATCTGTTCTCGGCAGCTTCTGTCAAGGGCGATACGGGCCGTGAGGCTGATGTTTGAAGCAGTACTGAGATTAATGTCTGCATGGTAACACAACTGTTGGGTGGCATCCTCATCACAACCAATCCAATATTTGGCTCTTCTAAGCGTACTGTTTAAACGTGAACACTTCACCGTGAAACTTGTGTCAGGGGTCTGATTTCCTTTGAGGAAAGCACTGGGTGACGAAATGAAATGTAGAATGAGAACTCACTTCTCCCGTATGGGTCCTAAGTGCGTTATCCTTACCACACTACAGATTTAACTTGAGTGAAGTGCAATGATTCAGACAGACTGAGCCGAGTGTGATTTGATTTGTATGAAATGTCTTGATGTGGGTTTATATCCCTATCTGGAAAATCAATGAAACAGAAACATGACCATGTTTTATAATTTTATAACATAAGACAGAGATAATCGACTATGCCTTCTCGGCGTGAACAAAGCAAATATACCTGCTCGAAAATTCCAATATTTGTATCATCCCTAATCGCAGACGCCAGATGTGGCCTTAGTCAATGTCAAGGTTCAAACCTTACAGGAGTCAAAGGTTGTAGGTTGCCTTAAGGTCATAACTATAGTTCTGGAATCAACAGAAAGAGACTAGCAACATTTATTTCATGGTCTGTCATGATATGTGCATTATTAACAAAAATTGTGAATGGAAATTATGTATACTGGTTTTAAATAATACAGTGAAGTTGTCATTAATTATACTTCAGCTATTTAATATCAGTATTGATTATTAGTGCGCTCAACCGGAAGTTTGCCTAAGCGCCATTACGAGGAAGTGGTTAAGGAAGATATCTGTATCTTTAATCAACAAAGGAGGTATATTTCAGCATATTTCCTGCTTTTTCTGTTTAATAAATGCATATTATTTATTATAAGTAGATATTAATAATTATGATTTTTATATAGTCAGAATATTGGGAATTGTCGAGGCGTGTCTGTCGTCTGCACGGCTGAGCATCGGCATACTCAGCTGACTCACTTCCTCCTTGTAACGAAATAAATCATCTTTAAAATAAATCATTTATTAAATGTAAACGTGAAATCTGTTACTTCTTGTGGTTTCTTCGGCTGCATTTCAGAATACTGTGCAGGAAATTCAAAAAACTACCCTTTGTCTTTTAACGCCTTCCGCCTATAAATTATATTTGAAACATTTACACTAGAGACATGCTAAATTAACTAAAACTAAATGTACAAGTTCCGGCATTCTTGGTTTGGTTAACCGTTGTTCCCAGTGTTAATCGTTATGGAGTTATGGTGATCACGAATTTAAATCAAACGGGATGTGATTGTCATAAGTATGGAGGTTTCCGTACTTTGTCTTCTGCGATAAATTTATACAAAGTCAAAAATTATATCTCATATCTTATGAATACAAAAGGAAGTCAATCAGTAAGTCCCAAATTATCGAGGCAGAAAATAACCCTAACAGGACCTCAGTCATGCGTCAGTTGCGCACTTCCGGGACTATGCCGCCACCGCTGAGAGTATCCCCCACACCGTTCACGCGGCGTGGATTGGGGCTAAACTAGATGGCTAGGACTCACGAGCAAATAAAATCAAAGCAGCTGCAGGAAATGCGGTAGCTGCTGCTCGTGAGTTCCAGCCATCTAGTTTAGCCCCAATCCACGCGGCATGGGGGATACTCTCGGCGGTGCCGAAAGTGCGCAATCTAAGTTGCCGGAAGTGCGCAATTGACACGTGACTGAGGCCCTGTTAGGGTATATTTTCTGCCTCGATAATTTGGGACCATTATTAGGAAGATAGCCCAAATTGTAGTTGGTTGTTTCTAAAAGTTTTAGATGATACAACATCAACATTTGTGTCCTTGTTCGCTAGATGTCACTAGGTGTCGCATGCAGTACAGAAACAAAATGGCCAGTGAACTTGTAGAGTGTATTCTCAAAGAACAACATGCTGTTGTGAGGAGCAAAAGGGCTGTCAGTAACGGACATTCATAAGGAACTGCTTTCTGTTTATGCTGACAAATGTTTATCCCGTAAAGCAGTGCATAGCTGGGTAAAGAATTTTTCTCAGTGACGCTCTATGATTGTTGTTGAACTCCAATATGACGTAGTCCTGTCGACGTTGCAACAGAAGCATCCTTGCAGCGGGTAGAGGAGATGATTAGAGGTAACCAGCGAGTAAAGGTTGACTCTGTAGCAGCTGCAGTAGGGTGCTCACATGGTTTTTGGTCAACTGAAAACCCATCTTGGCAGGCAACATTTCGTGAATGACACAGAAGTTGAATAATGTGTAGTGAAAATGAGGTTTAGAAAACGGAGCATGCATTTCTGTGCAGCAGATTTAGGAGGACTGATAAAATGATAGGACAAGTGCATTAGTGTTGGTGTAAATTATGTTGAAAAATAAAGGGACAGTGTGAGTAAAAATAAACAGTTTTCAAATTTTTATCATCTTTAGTTTTTTTTTTTTTTTTTTTAAAAACAACCATTTGTAACTTACTTATTGACTTGCCCTCGTACAAGTCTTCTAAAGTTACCAATAACTTTAGTCCAAGAATTAACACATTATAAGCTAAAAATTTCGCTGCTATCCTCTGAATAACAGCCACATATTATGGCGGTCAAAAAACATCCTGACAGGGCCTTATTAGGTCATATGTTGTAAACATTCAAAAACTTGAACTCGAAAATAATGAGGAACGAAAAAAGGGAAAATTACGAAATCGACTACTTAGCGATAATTTAGGCCTTTATATCTGAAAATTGTAGCACATAAGTTGCAAATAGTACCCGAAAATCTGCTCTTTGTGGCTGTGGCGCCATTGAAACTCGGCTACATATGATCAGAACAGGGCGCAGGTAGTGCCGCATTGGTAGCGCAGTTTTCACGAGCAAATAAATAAATAAGGAAGCAGCACAATGTGGAATTGCAAACTTCCGTAGCTGCTGCTCGTGAGTCCCAGCCATATAGTCTTCTTTCTCCCCCCGCGCAAGGGGAAACTCTTGGCGAATTTTACTTGCCGGTTTATTGCGTTTTGCGACATTATCGCCAGAAATTTATCCTACTTTTGCTGCAGTATATTTGCTGGAAAGAAGTCTGCAATTTACGTGTGATTGAGGCCCTGTCAGTTTTTTTTTTTTTTTTTGCTGCCATAATTTGTGGCCGTTATTCGGAGGATATCCCATTTTGCTAGCAAGACATGCCATCTGAGTCTGAAAGGATTTATATAATATTCACAACACGCATGGATACATTGAGTTACAGTTCATATTTGTATATCTTTAGTAAGTGTACCAGCTGGATGATAAATGCAGCATAGCAACCGCATATTGAAATTGATAATGAAGAAATTAAAAATGTCAGAGATTTTGAATATCTAGGATCAGAAGTGAACAATAATGGCAACTGCACAGAAGACGACTTTCTATAGGATGCTGAGAATAAACAAGATGTCTTATTTACCTTTTTCATTGTTCATCGGAATGACGTTAATGTGTTGTGCCTGTTTACAATATCACAGTGTGAAATTAAATCCCAAATGAGAGTCCAGCATTCTAAATGTTGGCCAGTTATTCCTCCTGTCACATAAAGTAATAATAACATATTTTCTTCTTAGAAGTTTCATTCATGATCATCTTATAAAGCTGACCATTTTTACTTTTATATTGTGTAGGCAATGAATTACTTGTGGTATTTACCGTTGTACTACAGTTGGCTTCTCTTCCTCCAGATGGCAGAGCAAGAACAGGTGGCACCCGAAGTTGAACAAGATGAGGAAGAAAATGTTGATTACAAACCACCTAAAGAAATGTCTATATCGGAAATTGTCTGTCAGGATGCAGAAGATGAAAGTCTTAGAAAGTATAAAGAGACCTTACTGGGCAGTTGTCTCGCAGGGAATGTTATAATTGGTATGGCACTACCGTCTGTATTTACCACTGTTTTTAAGGGCATTTTAGACTAGGGGACCGTTGGCCTGATAAATTAGGGTCACACGGCTAGTGCTGTTGCCACAGACTGTACAGTTTAGGATGTTAATTTTTGCCCACTTCAGAAAAAAGTGCACCTTACCGGGGGTCATACCCGGGTCTCTTGCATGAGAGCCTGAAGTAGTAACAATTGATACGTTGATCTAAAAGTAGAAGTGATGGTGGAGGGTCAGAGTTTCTGTCCATCACATTGTGGGGTGTGTTTAATCCCGTAAGTAAAAGTAAGTTGCATATCCTTTACAGGACACCACAGACCATCTCCTGCTTTTGTTGGCTTTTCTTGTTTTACTAATCAGTTTTCAACCAGTAGTCTTTACATATTGATGCTTAAATAGTTTTCAAAATCAGTGCAAAGGGATCTGCTGCCAGTTTGCTGGCAGCTGAATTGAACCCGGGCTGTGGGAATGAGGAAACTGCATTCATAACCCATAAGCTGTGGGTGCCGGTAATCCAATTAAGACAGGTTTATTTTGCAAATTTTATTCTGCAACCACTTATGACCGCTAGCTTTAGATCTGGCTGTTATTCATGAAAGCTCACAACCACATTTGTAAAGTGTTATAGTAATACCTTCACAGATATCTTATCTTGAAACATTGCAGAAGTTCGCTGACTTTTTTCCATTACACAGTGCACACCTGATAATGCGAATGCAGCAAAATGGTTTTTCTTGTCAGAAATTCCTCTTGTCCAGATAAGAATACAAGCCAGAAAAATTGTCAGGGATAAATTATTCTTCACAACAGAAGTTACACAAATGCATCACATCTGTGATCATCTTAGTGGCCTGCGCTATATAATAAGACATATTGCAGAAGTTTATAGTCAAGTTTTCCTTATAATTTTAGGACAGTTCTGGAATGTTGTTACTTCTCCTCTTCTGGATTGCCTCGCAACGTCAGGGCAGGAAGAGATCTGTGGAACGGGCCCTTCTGTTCGCTTTGTATATATAACCTTTTAGTGTCTCATATTTCTGCATGGTCAGCCTCGTAAATATTATTCCATACAGATTTAGAGGGGGGTAGGGCCTCAAGGTGCCTGAGCTCTCGGGTTCCAGTGCCTCTAATAAATACAGTGTTCATCTTATTTTTTGATAGCAAGGTGTTGTACTGACATCTAGCTGTCTTGAAAATTGGTGGGGGTGGGGCTCTGTATTGCACTCATAAGATTACATCTGTAGCAAGAGGTCTACAAAGGAATCGTGGAGGTGTACAATACTTATGTGCTGAATGGGAATTATTATATTTGGAATAATGAATATGTAAACAAATACTTGAGAATGTTTATGGATGGTTGGGGGACACAGGCCCTCTCTCACCCCCCCCCCCCATAATGGTGCAAAAAAGGGGGAGGTGGGGTGAGGGTATACTTAATCCCTTTCCCCTCTCCCATTGTGTAGGTTCCTATGCTTATGGTCGTTAATGCATTTACTGCTCAGACAATGGTCAGGATTTATTTCACAGCGGAGGCAAAATTATTTTCTTACTTCCATTATGGCTCTGGCATCAGTGCAGCTCCATGATACCGGGCCCATGTAATTTTTCAGAACCTTTTAGACATGTATATAGGAAGAAAAGGCAGTGAGAAAAGGAATTGGCCACCTGTCTCATCTACTGGCACTATGCCAAAGTACCTGACTGCAGTTTGAGTGATTTTCACCTGCGCCCATTTTCAGGGCTGTTATTTATCACTTTACAATATACCATAGGCTGTCATGTGAAATACTTCTATAAATAGGTCAAAGTGAAGCACTATTTTTCATGCAACTACTCTGTTCCCGGTCCATAAGGAGAAAACTAGGCTTTTGAGCTGAAATGCTAAGAAAGGTTCTCAGAATACAATGGGTAAAGAAGAAGAGAAATACTAACATTCTAAAAGATCTGAACATCAAGGAAGAGCAACTAATAAATAGTATCTTATCTCAGAAGCTGGATTATTTTGGCCATATCAATTGCTACGACGGATTGGAAAACATAATAGCAGAAAGCATGGTACCGGGGAGAAAAGGCAGGAGCCAACCAACACGAAGATAGGCACAGGACGTGACTCCTTAGATATGAAGGTGCCTAAGGCAGGAGAGCTGGCCAAGTTTTTTTCAGGCAGACTGTGATGAGAGTGACATTCTACAAAGGACCTGCTACATGATGATAATGACTGAATGTACGGACGCATTCTGAGGTCACGGGTGAAGAGCATTGTCTGGATCTTTTCTCCTCATGCTTGTGTATGTTAGGAAATGAAAAGGCTCTGCACAATATGGTGGAATACTGATGCTTGATAAGGCAGACATGGCTAAGGCTGTGTGGGAAACACGTGTACAATTCGGAACAGTCTGGGGAGAGCTTTGAGAATGACAAGACAGGCGTATAATCAGACCGCCACTGGCACCATTTTTATTGGAACTCTGTGCTGGCTGCTGAAATTGGGGAGCGCTTATGGAAATGTGCCGAGTGCTATGATGTGAGCTCTTGAATCAGCTCGACTCAACAGAATATATGAAAGCCCAAAACTTCATAACCTATTGGCAGTAACTGCTGCAGGACTACCAGTACTTTATAGCAAGACACCTAAGATATTAAGATTTATTTCATGATGGCCATTCTCATTTCAGATGAGAAGAACCCTAACAAAGTTATAATACAGAAACTGTCGTTGCTAGCTGAAGGCAGAGATGAGATGTCTCTTGATCTTACAAGTAAGTATATCTTATCCTACATACAGTCCAGACACAGAGATCCATTACAGTAAAAAGTCTAACATGCATAAGAAGCAAAGTACTCATTTTTGTGTGGGTAATCAAAATTCCAGGTCTTCGGGGCTGCCTCCTACAGGCTTCTAAAGACACAACCAGTGCTGAATGTGAGGCGCTATTTACTGATTTTCTCATTAGAGAATCAAGATCATAGCACATACCCATGGGCTTTCTGTCACCTGCAGCAAATGTCTTGAGATGTAGATGCTAACTGTTCCTATAGCACACTGATTATAAATAAACCTGTCATTCTCTTCCTCTAATGCATCCCTCGTTGCCTGATCCTCACCTAATTCTTCATAACACATATTTACACAGTTATTTCATCTAAGCTTATGTCTTCTATGAGCATTAATTTATAGATGGTCTTCAGAATGTCTAGTATAAATGTTCATTTAGCTAACCCTTTTGTAGCTAGAAAATCCGCTGTTTCATTTCCTATCGCTCCTGCATATCCTGGACAGTATATCCACATGCGTCCTTGTAATGTCAACATGCTGATGCTTGGTATCCGGTCATGCTGCATTTGTCCATTTTGAATAGACACTATAATTCCTCTGTTTTCAGCTCTGCACTTTAGGGCTGCAGTGATTGCCTCAACAACCTCCATTGTCATGCTTGTAGTTGTAGATTAAAAAAAAAACACAATTTTTTTCAGGCCATGATCTTTCCCTTCACTCTAGCTAAAAATCCCCAGCGAGATCTTTTATCCTGACGAACGGAACCATTAAAACACACTGGTGCATCATCTAGCCCAGCTTTTCATCTATCAGTAGTATCTCTTATTCTGCCTTACCATTACACCACTCTTTTACATTCTCTTCCCAATGTTATAATGACATGATGGAAACAGTTGTTTGAATTCCAGTCGACCCATTCCTGCTTACTGTGTATTTGCTAAACTGAGGCAACTGGATTAGCTCTGTATTTATGGAAGCTTGGGGGGGGGGGGGGTTGCTAATGTTTTGCCACTGCATTCTCTTGAGAACTGATAAGCATCACATGGATGTGCTGGACCAGCCTGAGAGGGGGGGGGGGTGCACCAACTGTGAACTAGGAAACAAAGATCACCACACAACAAGGAGATTGTATTGCAGTGTCCCACAAAACTAACTGGGAGGGTAAACTAGACAGCAAATGCTTGCAGCAGTGGAATGTGTCTGCCGAAAGATGCAAATATAGCAGCCATGTTGCAAATGGGCACAGTGCTTTTACGTCTTCAAATGAACACGGAAGAAGAAGACCATACAGCCAGCTTTTTTCTTTAGTGTGCGTGTCTGTTCTGTTGACTGGTTTAAAAGTTATAATTAGATACAACACGTACTTTCTGGAATTCTTTGCTTTGTTGCCTCTTCTTCTTCAGTGAACATTTGCTATGCATCTTTTTCAGCATGGCATAAACAGGATAGTATGCTTGAGGTCTTCACAGGTGCCAAGTAATTTGTCAGTCGCTTCTGTGGTATAGATTTTGTTTTTTCTTGGACTGGCAGTCTAAGCAGTGTTGTCAGACATGCTCTAGAACTTTCTTTAGTGCACTGCTACCATCTGAGATCCATTTGATGTAGGTATGCTCTTGGTTTACTGTTTTGGTCCCTATGCTGAATAATGCTAATTTATAAACTTTATTCTTCTTTCTAGTCTGTCAAATATTACTGTGCACTTTCGGGCACAGGAATAGCAATTTGGCTACACCATATGGTATGAGTCAGATCTGTACTAAACAAATACATTTTCAAAATTATTTCAAAATGTTCTTTTTCTTTTGCAAACACTCTTAAAAAAGCTTTTTGCACTGTATGTTGTGGTTTACAGCTAGACCTTCTGTCTAACACTTCCAATTTCCACAAATTTCTGACCATTTGCCTTTTACAACATGCTTGTTAGGAAGAATTGGGTCATACACCCCCCCCCCTCCCCCCCTTTCCTTTTCTCCTCCCTTCCCCAATGAGCCGCTGAAACTCACACAGGGAGTAAGTGGATAATGTCATGTGATGTATTAAATCCGCTGCTAAAAGAAAAAAAATCAGCACCAGGATTTACTTTATGGGTTTTCCTAGGGAAATTTACATTCACTAAGCTGTCTGAACATTTGGAGTCTTATACCATTGTCATAATTAAAGCAAATGGGTCTACCAGATTGCCTGCAGCTGCTTTCAAAACCTGGTGAGTTTTGTGCTTCTTCTTCTTCTTTCGTTTGCTTGAAATAGATTATTGATATCTTCAGTGTTGTCTCCAGTATGAACTTCACTATCTTTTGTAATTCACACAGCGACCTGTGAAGTTTGGCTTGCGCCAGTGTTTCTCTTGGCCAAAAGTTGTGCCTTGATACATTGTATTTGGACAGTCTTGGAGGATGTGATCTGTTGTCTCATGTGCCAGTTTATACGTGCACATGGCTGATTCGCCGATTTTAAATTTTGTATATGTGTTACTGTGAAGTCAACTGCATCCTATTCTAAGGCGTAGAGTAATAACTTGCTCTTTTCTGTCCATACCATGGTAATCGTCTTGTGCCGGTTTTGGTGGCTTTCTGATTGATTTGATTATTTTCTTCTTCTGTTGATAAGAGAAGTCAGATTGTTCTTCATTTGCACTGCATTCTCAGCCACAAATGCCAACAGTGGTTTAATGCTGTTGTCTCAATCAAAGCACTCTCTAATTGCTTGTCATTTGCTTGCTTGTGGTCAAATTGTCATTACAAAAAAATAATAATCCACAATTGTATTTGTGTGCTTTCACACAGAACCTGAAGAAGAGATCAAGAAAGAGTCATTCACATTGAAAGAAGGCTGCAAGTATAGGATTAAGATATACTTCTTTGTACAAAGAGAAATTGTCTCTGGACTTCGTTATGAGCACAAAGTATACAGAAAGGGTATCCAAGGTAAGGGGCATAAAATCTCAACTAAGCTGTCATTATTAACTTATTTTTGCGTGTTCCACATATAATATATGATATTTATACCAGGAGATAGCCGAGCAATGCACACTAATCCGTATTTAAACACTTCTGTGCAGGTGTTGAAACATGACCCGTTGGAATTATAGAAAAATAAACGAAGCAGTCCTCCTTGAGACATTAAAAAATGTTAACTGTTTAAAGACATTAAATGTCCTAATCATTCTCTTCTCTCTCTCGATAGTGAAATAATAATGAGGGAGGTCAATGATGGACCAGGAACACTAGTTGCAGGTTATAATATAAACAGTCTTCATTTTGCAGATGATACAGTATTAATAGCTGAAAACGCAAAAGACCTACAACAACTATTAGACATTGTTCTACTAGAGTACAAAACAGGGACTATCCTTGAATATCCAGAAAACAAAAACAATATCAAAGAAGAAGATAACTTAAAGTGACATAGCAATAGAAGGGAAAGTGCTTGACCAAGTTAGTAAATTCAAGTATTAAGAAACATTCATAAAATCAGATGGATGATTTGTGACATAAATTAAGCACAGAATTGGCCAAGCAAAGGCAGCTTTTCAGAAGATGAAAAGTATCTTATGTAATGAATCACTCTAATTAAGCATCAGAAAACGAGTACAAAAATGTGGTTCTTAATTTATAACGTACCCCAAACACGAAATCCCCGTGGGAAATCCACAGCTGACCTGACAGTCCATTATTTCAAGGGATGGAAGTGTGCTGTTGTGTGGTGCTTTTTTTGAGTGTTCATCTAGTGTCTTCTAACCCTAACCCTAAACTTGGCTGTAGAGATAATCGCGAGAAACTACAACCTGAACAGCCTAGAATTTATTGGGAATGTCTCCCGTGACGTTGTTGTGACGTCAGGGGCAAGTTATAAATTAAGTACCCAAAAATGTTATATCGAGCCTGTTCTATAGTAAGGTAATTAATCTTGGAATGTGACCAAACAAGAAGAGTTTGGAGGCAGTTGAGATTTGGTTCTTGGGAAGAATGTTGTGAATACCGTGGACTGCCAGAATAACTAACAATAATTGTCTAGAAATGGCTAGTGATCGAAGAACTTTATATACAACAGTAAGAAGGAGTCAAAGTTCATTGGTCAAGAAATAAAAAAGCACTGGAAAATATTGTGACAACTGGAAAGATCTCTGGTAGAAGAGGCCGAGCAAGGCCAAGAACAATTATGGTGGAGGGCTTAAGAATGTGGCATGGAGGAATCTCATCAGTGGAATTGATCCAGAATACCAAAGATCGAGATCTATGGTGATACATAAACGCTTACGCCAGCTGGCAAGGCACTAGATGATGATGATATAACACACAAGTTATTACACATTTTGAATTGTCATATTTTGTCTGTGTCCTTTGTACTTGTCTTATTTTTATAGTACCAGTTCTGCCCTGCGACTAGTTATTTGCCTTGTGCTATCGGTCCTGCTTATATAGTTTTATTCAATATTCCTTGACGTCTAGCCTCAATACAGCTTCTGTTTTCTAGATTGAAGAGTGTAGCGCGTGGTCAGAATCAGTTTACGAGGAAAGCGAGACTTCTTTGAAAGGGGGTTCTTGGTGTGTTTTCTCTTGGTGATAACAGATGGTGCTGTTAGTGATGGAATTGTCACTGAAATGGGACACATAGATTGATTGAGGCAACAAGGATGTCCAAGAGAAATTCTAAGATGAACATTGTTGAGAGAGGCCACAGGTGTTGGGCTGGATTCCATCCATGATATCAGGATTGCACAAGGTAGGATGGAATTAAGGACCAGACCGTGAGTCCTAAGTAACTTTAGATCATATGGAGGTACAAACAGATCATTACAGTCTGACGTTCAACACTCAAGAGAAAGGCAAGGCTGATGTACAAGCAGACAGTTACTGATACCATCACTTGCTGCTGAAGATGGCGATGGAGCACTTATAGGAGTGTCCCAAATGCTGTCGATTCTTAATTCAGCTTTTAACATCCTAAGTAACATATAACAGCAAGGCATGATGGAATTGTCACGTCTAGACTTTAGCAAGACAGGCAGATAGCCTTAAGGTGTTAAGAATGTAGGTCTGGTCTAGTTTGGAGTAATTACTAAAGTAATAACAAAGGATATTTATACCTTTAGTTTTGGCTTACTTCAGCTAAACCTCTGCAAAGAGTAACCATTCGTTATGTCTCCAAGGCTAATGAACATCATCTGTCATTAGACTACAAGACGTGGACTTTATCAGTGTATAACCCATTTGGTGTTTGCTGATGTACCCACAATGTGCACCCAGTTGTGCATTTACTCAACTTAGCCTAGATTTATGACAGAGAGCCTTCAGGAATGAAATCACTTCCCCATTCCAAAATCAACTTAAATAGGATTCTAGTTTGTCATATTCTGTTGAGAGAAATGCTGCAGATCTACCTCATTCCAACACTTCTTGAACTACTACTACACGTCCATGTTCATTCCATCTCTAATCATACTGTTAGATAAGTTTATTACATTACCTACTGTATGTGTATTAAAAAGTAGTTTACTAGTGCATGACATGCAGTGATCCGCAACACTGATTTCTTTCTTTCTGTTTTCAGAGCACTAATTTTTAAAAAAAACATTTGATGTAAGGACTTTCATAATCTGTTTCCAGTTTCACCATTGGATGTTTTATTGCACAAAAAGAATAAAAATATGTAAAGACCTTCATATACTTTATAAGGACTTTCATAATCTGTTTCCAGTTTCACCATTGGATGTTTTATTGCACAAAAAGAATAAAAATATGTAAAGACCTTCATATATTTTTCAGAACTTTCCAAACTGCTTTGATTCTTCAAGTTATAACATAGGTTTCAGATATGCTCATTGTTCTGTTGCAATTTTTTTCTTCGCAGTAGCAGTTATGATCTTTATCTGAAGTCACAGTAACTTACTTATAGACGCAATATGATGAATAGACCCACATCTTCTGCATTTGCCGGTCATGACCTCTGACTCTTAAGTATTTTTATGCATTTTCGTGCCATTTGAAACCGATTACTGTACTAATATATAAATTATTAGCAAGCTTTCTTACCAGAATGAACCATATGTTTATGTTCTAATTAGCATATTTCTTTTGTATTTTTACAATCAGTGGATACGATGAAACAGATGATGGGAAGTTACGGACCCAAATTTGACCTCCAGTCATTTACAACTCAAGAAGAGGAAGCCCCACATGGCATGTTGATGAGAGGCGACTATAAGATCAAGTCCAGATTCGTCGATGATGATAAAAATGAGTTTGTAACCTGGGAGTGGCATTTGTCGGTAAAGAAAGACTGGTGTTAGTCATACCTGGCTGTAGGACATCTAAAATTTCTCGCCTTCCTCGTGTAGTCTTTGAATTAATCTTCAACTTCTTTTGTCATATCCTAGCTTTCCAAAATGTTTATGGTTCTATTTGAAAGATTAAAACTGGTGTTTATGATGGAGTTAAGAGCTAAGCAAAATAATGTGGTATTAATGGGCGAGATGGTGCAGATGTTTTTGATTTAATCGGTTATTTCTCAGTGTACTGTAAATCACAGTTTATAGAGTCTTCAGGCCCCCAACAACAACAAAACATATTTCCAAAATTAATATGGTGGGTATAAAATGTAAACCTTTGCCACCTGGTTGTAAATAATTAAGATGACACTCATAACAGCCACTGTACACCCAGCAGGCCACGATAAATGTGTGTCACTCAAATATGTGGTTTAAACAGAATTTATTTTTTCTGCACATTGACCATTAGGCCTAGATTGTGGGCCACTGATAGCTAACTGTATGTGTGTATGAGGGTCAGCCTAAATGGTAGGTATAGGACTAAAGCTGTGCACTAAAAATCTTGAGGTCAACTTATAATCCAGTTAACAAAATTTGACAGCTGGCAGTTGATTTACATACATACTTTATTAACCTTTCATGTCCTTGGCAGCTGTTACTTTACAGTAAAAAGTTGCTAAAATAATAATTGTCTGGGACTGGAGAGAGTTAGGTAATGTCTTGGGTTGGAGGGATATCAGTAGCAACTATCTAGGGTGAGTGAGGGTTCAGTAGCAACTGTCTGGAGTAGGACATCAGTAGCAACTGTTTGGGGTAGGACATCAGTAGCAACTATCTAGGGTGAGTGAGGGTTCAGTAGCAACTGTCTGGAGTAGGACATCAGTAGCAACAATCTGGAGTAGGACATTAGTAGCAACTGTCTGGAGTAGGACATCAGTAGCAACTGTCTGGAGTAGGACATCAGTAGCAACTATCTAGGGTGAGTGAGGGTTCAGTAGCAACTGTCTGGAGTAGGACATCAGTAGCAACAATCTGGAGTAGGACATTAGTAGCAACTGTCTGGAGTAGGACATCAGTAGCAACTGTCTGGAGTAGGACATCAGTAGCAACTGTCTGGAGTAGGACATCAGTAGCAACTGTTTGGGGTAGGACATCAGTAGCAACTGTCTGGAGTAGGACTTCAGTAGCAACTGTTTGGGGTAGGACATCAGTAGCAACTGTCTGGAGTAGGACATCAGTAGCAACAATCTGGAGTAGGACATCAGTAGCAACAATCTGGAGTAGGACATCAGTAGCAACTGTTTGGGGTAGGACATCAGTAGCAACTGTCTGGAGTAGGACATCAGTAGCAACTGTCTGGAGTAGGACATCAGTAGCAACTGTTTGGGGTAAGTGGGGGGTTTGTAGCAACTGTGGGGGTAGGAGGGAGTTTAGTGACAACTGCTTGGAGTAGGAGTTCACATTATGACCACAGTAGAGCAAAAGGGCTGATAAGGTATTAGTTTTCAAATTCTTCAGTCAGAATAATCAAAGAGCTCTCAAGAACTGTACCAGTGGTGTTATCAATTTGCGGGGGTTCACTGGAGGAAGAAGATGCATAAATATGGCAGGCACAAACATATATGGTGGAAATTAATCAAAAACATTTTTAGTTATTGATTGCTCGGCCAGAAAATATGCTACTTTTTGTGTGTGACGTTTGCATGCACACCCAGTATGTATTTTGGTAGCAACACAGTTTTTGTAACAATAGTTATCAACAGATGCAAGTGACTTTCTGTAAGCACAGAATACATTTTTTTTTTTTTAATTATACATATATATATGTTTCTGGGAATTATAATATGCCAAGTGGCATGTTCTCTGTATTGGATATATGTGATTGGTGTATATAAAAGCCAATTTACATTAACTAGTATTGTTATTGTACGTAGACCTGTTTCTGTTTTTAACTTCTTTTTACATACATGTCTTCTGTTTGTCAGCATTTCAAGTTTGAATTGTAGTACGTATGTGAATGTTAACAGGAAGAAAATGTGATGTCAGAGCATCACATATCAGGTGATGGGTACGCAGTGTGGTATCTCTGATTTACAAAAGTGATATTATCAAGAGTTAAAGCATACATGTGTGCAACAGATTTTGTTTGTCTTTGCCTCAAGTATGCGTATACCATAACTGTTTTTATTGGATTTTACAAAATGCCAGTACAGTTGCAGTGTGCGTCTATTTAATGATAGAAAAATATGGTAAAATTTATTAGACTAGAAATTAAAATAATATTTAAAAACATTAAAGCTTGTAAAAGATGCACGAATATAAAAAGAAATGTCTGTTGAAACATAGGCAACTTCTTCAAAAGTGGAGGAGAGTGACTTGATTACAAATAACGCATTACCATCTGATCTGAAAATACAAAATTCAGAACATGCTTCCAGCGGAGGATTTATTTGATAAAATAGTTGGTCAGTATTATAAAAATTAGTAGTAAACTGCATTCCATTTTGCTATTGCCCAAACTACATTATTTTTCTTATTCAAATATTCTGCTTCTCCTAGGGCACAATTTTTAGCCTGTATCATTTTAGCATGAGTTCTATATTATTATAGCAAATTAATCAATGGAATACTAAGATGGATTTATATATTACCATATAATAATAAACAAAGAAGACTAAAAGAAAATTGACAACTTATTACCTGGCATGTCGCTATATCTCGCCAGGTGCACACTGCAGCTACAGATACTGAGAAACACAAAAATTAATGCTTCTGACAAATCGGTTGTTACTATAGTGTGCACCTGGCAAGATACAACAAAATATGCCAGACAGTAAATCAGCCTTCCATTGTTTGTGACCAGATCCTTGATTGTGTATGGTGGAAAAACATGGCATATACTTATAGGCACAGCTTATGATGATTGCTAACATCTTTATTCAGTTTTCCAAAGCAGGAAATACTGCTTTAATAAAATGGTGACCAAGAAAGAACTTCAGTGATTTTTTTTTTTTTTAAGATTGATTTTGATTTGTCTGTGTACTAGAAATTTGAATTTGTGCTAGAAATGTCATTTATCTGTTTATATGGCCATTATTTTTATTTCACTAGATATACTGTAACAGTTGTATGGTCTTTTAAGTGAGTCTGATTAAATGTGTTTTGTTTGTGTGGGTGTATTAGAATTTCATGAGACTCAAGTTATAACTTATATTTATTGCACAGGTTTTACTGTAAAATTGTATTCATCTTCATTTTACTGTAAAATTGTATTATATCTTCTTTTGGTCCATTTAGATCTGTTATTGATAAAATATACATTTAGAATTATTTCTTTCTTCAACTTTGTGGATCCGAGAACCAACATATTCTGGTGCATGGGGTAATGAACATGCTGATAGATTGACCTGTTGCGCCTCTGGGCATTGAGCTACTTTATGAGAGAACGGATGTGATGAAATCTGTCACATCAGTCGGACAGGTAATCTTGAAATCTGTACCTTGAAATACTAATTCAGCGACGAAGGGAAAACAGATGAACAGTCTCTTCGTTTTGGGACTGGCACTATTAGCATGGGTAATCTGCTCTTGTCTGTGGCTTAGGCGTTGCAAACCCGCTTCTAAATGCCGGGTTTGATCCCAGCTGCGGCCCTGCTCTGGTTTCGACAGATGTATCGAGAAGCTGACCGTCTGGAAAGCAATGGCAAACTACTGGATGTGAATTTGTCTAGAAAAACCACAACAGCTAATAAATGCTGGGGTTAGTTCTGCAGCTAACTTTTAACTAACTCTGCTGTTGAGGCAGAAGATGGAGCATAAGTGGGAATGTTTTGAGTACAGTTGTGTCAATTCTTGATCTAATCTTTATACTTATTTAGTTCACCCGTGTGTGCCATTTGCAATATATTTGACTTGGCTGCACACCCCTATGCAGCTAACTTTTTGCTAGGCTAAGGCTTCTGTTACACTGTTGCTTTTAAATTGTCCCATCCTTGTCTTTGCATGTAGCGAAGAATGCTCAGCTACAGCAATTTTTTTTCCTGTGGTTGAGTGTTAAACGATGGCAGGCTAAAGGCACCTATTTTCTGATCATGTTGTTGTGTGCCTTGATTTAACTCATCCTAACTCATTAAAAGCAGCCTCTTAAATGCCAAACTACACAGGTTTTAACATGAATGTTAGGCCTTTTTCTCCGCTTGTTTACAACGCCACTTCTTGCTCACATACATCCAGACTCTGTTACTGCATATTTTAACTGCATCTGTCAAATATAAGGGGTGTTCATTTGAAACCCGTTCATGCTGCGCTGTTACATGCATTGATGATTATGTCATGTTCATGTGGTAAGCACTGAACAGTGGATAAAAGATCGGGTGCTTAATATCCACACTGATGCAGAGGTTTCAGACCTGACCATTGAGAAAATGGCCAGGTTGGTCCAAAATCCATTCAAAAAGCAACGATTCTCTCCTTTAAAGGATGTCAGCCAGTTAAAGAATGCAGGCATCATACAATAAATATGTGTCAAAGACAACAGTAACAGACTTGGCACAAATGTTTCAGAAAGGGCTTTAATTCATGGCAGAATCTGATGCGTCAGCTGGGACATTTTAACAAGTTGTAAGAAACTGCAGTATTGGAGACATGTTGGTACCTCCGATTTTGGCTGACCAACGGATTTCACACATGATGATGTAATGAATGCGGTTTAGTGAGCAACCGAGTCCTTTTTGCAGCCGGCATTTACTGTCTACATAAGCAGCGGAAAAACAACTTTTCTAACTAACCTGTGTATTGTTAGTTTTTTGTTAGTTTAAAATGATTAAATTCTGTTACATATGTTATTTCTTTCATGTGCTTCTAATAAAGCCATTGGAAAGAGTTTCAAGGGAACGCTCCTTATGTTTTATCAAATCATTCGCCTAGGGTGTGAGTATTAAAATATTTGGTGCTTTTTCCCCCCCAAGACATGACACAGATTTCAAAGCTTTGTATGTGATGAAATTGGAACGAATCATTGC